GTAGCCTCTTTTCTCAAGGTAACCTTATGCGTAATGCGAGATCCATTAAGCTATCCGAAAAGAAAGCGTCATGAAACTTTCGATAAATTTACGGTAATCGGTCTTTTCCGGTTCATAACAGCACATTCACTCGAGATCACTCCGATATTGTCCACCAGGCGCCATATACAGGCAACTGGAGAGGCCTGCATTGGCGCCTTCCAATATTTACTTTTTTTGAAGTGGGGTGTTTGTACTAGTAAAATATATGTACGAATTTTGTAGAAGTGAAGAAATGCTTTAATGTCATATTCACAAAAAAGTATGTGCGTAAACGTTTTGTATTCATTTCAACCTCTGAAGTTACGACGAAAACTTGCGAGCGTTCCTGTAAAGGTGTTCAAGCTTGAGCCTGTGCTGAGGAGTTCAATAACCAAAAAACATGGCTGCCGTCGGAGAGACAATGAAGCAAAGTTTGTTTTGAAAAGAAGTTCATAAGTCATATGAAATTTGTATGAGCTACAACGCATCAACTATCATGAAATATTTCCTATTTGGACATTTGTCAAAATAATGTTCTGTTCTTTACAAGTTTCAAACAATGTTATTTGCTCTTTGTTGTATATTTCATGCACAATGTGTTCATGGTAATGGTAATATTTTCGTTTTACATCAATCATTATCATGCATAAATATTAAACATCAGTGGTTAATATTTTCTGGCAAATATTTTAAATCAATTCTAAGACAACACTCCGGTACGTTAAACGCACCACATACTTTTGACGTTTGTGACGTCTGCCATGCTCCTTGCATAAGTGGATGTTAATACGGAAAACGAGCGTGACCCATTGAGATTCGTTGTCAACGCTTCAACGTTTGTTGCTCTGGGGGGCCTGTTTTTGTCGACCTTGACTCTTAGAATCAAGGGCGAGAAGAACTGAGAGTCAAGATTAAGTTTTTTTTTATCAATTGATCAATTTGTGGGGTTTAACGTCCCAAAACCACCATATGATTATGAGAGACGCCGTAGTGGAGGGCTCCGGAAGATGTAAACCAAAGAAATATTAGGTGTTCATTGATGACCTTGTCTGCAGTCTTTTCTGAATGACTTGCGCCAAGTTTGGTTTCAGGAAACTGGAGCACCACCACATTTCTCTACCAGCGCGAAGAACTGGTTGGACAGACGTTTTCTACAACAGTGGATTGGGCGATCCAGAGCAATGTTCTGGCTACCAAGATCTCCTGACCTTTCTCCGCTCTACTATTTCCTTTAAGCCATGGTTAAAAATCTAGTTTACGTAATTGGGCCCAGCGATGTTAATCACACAAAGGACAGAATAACATCTGCCTGTGCGAGTATTCCTGCAGAAGTAGTGCGACGAGTCATAGAATCGACGCGAGAGTGGTTCATGCTTGCGTTGCTGCCAAATGCAGATGTTTTGAACACTTTTGGGGGAATTTTTGTGTTTAGAGGCGAAGAGTTTCAATGAGATTTGTGAATGACCGAAATAAGCTTATGTAGCAGTAGGAAATATGCGTAAGCAAGTATAAAAGTGTTTCAGTTATTAGTGGTGAAGTTGTTGCTTTTGATTTCAATTAAAGTTGCAGTACTCGGACATCAGCAGTCACACTATACGCGTAGCCCAGGGAACGACCACACACGCTTCACTAGTCAATATTACGCACGCACATGACATCCAGATTCTCCACTCGCACCACTATCTCGGCATGGTACCTGCCAATATATTTAAAGGCCCTGCAGTTGCGTGTTCCGACACTGGTTGCAAGAGATCTTTTATTTTTAATTTCGACGACCAAGAGGACAAGGCTAATTCTTATCACCCATGCTTCCACCTTCTTCAAACACTAAACACCACACGACACATGTGTCACTTTAGTGACGAACTTTCGATGGAATCCAGCGGAGAGTTTCTAAAACTCAGATGCGAGTGCTCCTTTTTCCTATTAACTACTTACAATTTTGTATGCGGCCCTACACCCAATATTGCAGTGTCTATATAATTGCTATTGCAATAAAATAGCGAGAAAAGAAAAAGATATAAAAAGAGTAAGCAATAGAGAAATAGTAGTGAGTGAGACAAAGAAAGAGAAACATTAATAGAAATAGAGAGAAAGATAGAAATAAACAGAGACGAAAAATTCACAAAGAGTGAAAAGGATGAGAGGGAGAAAGAAGGCTACCCAGCTACGCACTTCCTTAAGGCTTGGCACCTTTAGTTTGCAGCTGCCCACCAGCTAGACTGACTCTTTAGCATTGTGCCTCCAGTGCAAGCTACTTAATTTTTGGCAAAAGATTATGCATATTTGTGCTTGCATTTGTATCTGTACATGTATATACATGCATGGAAAATCGCAAAAGTTTGAGAGGGGGTTGAATCCTCCTCTCGCTACAGCAGTGTAACTAGTGGGGATTCTACGTACCGTAATTTCGGAATTCCATCCTGGCCCACAGCAATGTCCAAAGAGACTCTTGAAAATCACCAAAGCTGCTGTGTCTGCTGAGGGTGATAATCTTTAAAAATGCAAGAACACCAAGTGACAACGTCCCATTTTACAAAACATTTTGCAACATGTTATCACAGCAAATGAGGAGTGAGGATATCATCATGTTACACTGCTACTTGATGGTGAGATCAGATAATATCAGGAAAATTATCCCAAGACTTTAAGTGACGACATCAGGCGACGTCTCTTCAAGGTGCAGTCCAAGTATGCGTCCCGCTTTGCACTGTCTAGGAATTAGCCCACACTTTCCCATGAGTATAATTTTACTATAAAAAACCTAGCCATTACTAGAGACTAACAGCTTTGGTGTAAATTGCATTTTTGATAAAATAAAGTGTCATGTGTGTTCAATGCTAATCAACATGTTCTAATCACAGCTAATGTGTATGTTGCTGTTATCTGAACTACTACTGCAAGAAGAGGAAGAGGAAGAAAGTTTAAGCAGAAAGACAGTGAGGCTAGCCAGTTCTTAGACTGGCCGGCTACCCTGTGCTGGGGAAAGGGGTGAGGGGAATGAAAGATGTTAAAAAGAAATGTTGCGAAGAGAGAGAGAAATTACAAAAAAAAATTGCGACAGAGGAAAGGCAACATCAAAGATTATGACACTAAAGTCTGTCTCTGAGGTCAGTTGTCCGCAAAAAGCGCAGCAAAGCTTTCAAAGCCTTCTGGACTGAGGATGGGCTCGGCCAATGACCCAGAATCCTTTGTTCCGACAAAGGCCGATCGTCCAGTCTATCCAGAGCTGCAGCGAGTTCTTGTCTTTGCGCGTTGAAATGGGTGCACCCACACAGAAGGTGCGCGATGGTTTCTTCGCAGCTGCAGTAAGTGCATGTAGGAGAGCTGGCCATTCCAATGAGATAAGAGTATGCGTTCGTGAAGGCAACTCCAAGCTACAGGCGGCATAGAAGAGTCTCCTCAGCTCGAGATATCTTTGGGGGAAGACGAAGTTGCAGATCGGGATCCAAGTTAACTACTACTGCAGTTATCATTGAGGTAAAGCACATGAAAATTGACCAGTCAAGTCCATATTTTCCAGTGAATGCAAACCTTAACCCAATAATGTTTATCATCCATACAAGTACATGCAACTTAATTGTCTTTGCCAATTTTTTCTAACTAGTGGCTGAGAAAGTGCAGGATACATTTGCATTACATGAATTGAACCTCCTGCACACCAATGAGTTGGTGAAGGCACGACAATGTTTAACCAGTTGCTTGATGTGCCATGTTCCAGAAGGATTGTCCAAAGTATAACTTTTGTTTGCCCAAAATGAATACGATTGACAACAAAGTGCACAAGCATTTTCAACCTAATATTTAATTTTTTTGCAAGACTAATAATAATTATTGCAGTTTTGCAAAACCATGATATGATTATGAGGGACACCGTAGTAGAGATCTCTGAATATCGATCATATGGTGTTCTTTGAGATCCACCTACATCTAAGTACATGGGGCTCACGTATTTCACTTCTACTGAAATACAGTTGCAAAGCCGAGATTTGTTCCCGCAACCTTCGGGTCAGCAGTTGAGCCCCATAACCACAAGACCACTGTAGTGAAATTTGCAAAAATGAAACATGACTGACTGCAAAATAGATCTTTAATTACACACTAATTATAACTAATGACTGTAACTTGCACAAAAAAACATAATACTTCCCTTGAAGTTCGCTCTCGTGTTCGTTGGAGTAACGTGTAGAATTCAACACATTTGCAGACAGCCCATCACAACTCATGCCTGAAGGAGTTAATATCAATGTAATGAGTTTGGTCTCACAAAAAAAAAAAAAGTGCCAGCCCAGACCTTTAGTCAAGAATGAATTGACTCAAATACTGAATTACCTGGGGCCACTTTAATAGAAGTCTAGTTACCTGTTTGGCCAAATTCCAATACAGTGTTATAAAAAAAAATAAAACACGCTGAGTGTCACATTATTTTACTGTGGGTATTTAGGGTCTGTTCAATTTGCCTACACCACGTGAACCAGTTCACAAGGTGCTGCACCTTGCCATTTGTTTCAGCGATGCAGCATTCACGACCTCTCAACCCTGCCATTCGTTTCAACAGGTGCAGAAGAGATGCAGCACTGGTTCAAAATTTTCCTGCACCTACTACGCTGACGGTGCCGGCTTGGTGCAGCTGAGCAGACGACGCAGCACTTAGGCGTAGGCGCCGTTCCCGCCTCTACAAACGCTGTGCGTTTTGCCAAGATGTTTGCGCCTCCTAAACTGTCCGAATGTGTGATTCCCCATCGGTCAGTGTTAGCTGAAGGGTGTAAATTAAGCGAACAGAAATAAGGCCTGCACCTTGTCAGCACATCATCATTAGTTTTAGATGTCGTGCTGTGCCTGCACCTCTGAACTCACGCTGAAGTCACAATTCCTGAACTTCACATGCACAGCCATGAACCGGTTCTGACTGGTGCAGGTGAATCGAACGGACCTTTAGTTTCATTAGACGGTGCAGTGAAAAGCATAATGCAAGATACTTTACAAATGAAACACATCTTTATTAGTATATAAATAAATCACCACAAGAGTGTTATGATGTTATATCATATGCATTGCTTTCTAGCAGCTTTAGACACTCATTAATTGTTCTGAAGATTACAGAAAAAAAGCAATGCAAAACAATATTAATCACAGAGGCACCTGTATGCCCCATACATTACATTAGCGCATCACAATACAGCTGCGTTATGGCATCATTTGTTATACAAAAGTTCAGCTCTTCCTTGTAAGGATGTTAGTGTCGTCATTGCTATATACAATGTCAATTCAAAAACCCAGCATTCACAAAATGAAAATGCATTTATTGGTAAACCTTTGCTACATAAATAAATATCATAAACAGGCTGTCCAACCTCACTAACCTAAAAGTTGTCTTCCAATTTATTCTAATAACTATAATATTTATTAATGCAGGACGCTAAAACCTTCAGTACGAGAAGTTGCCTACACTATATATATATAACAAAATCACAGTATGACATGTACACACATTTCCTATATTTCATAACAAATATAGATTTAATAAGTCATAAATTAAGTAAGAAAGAAACGGTTTATAAAAGAGAACACCCAATGCACCATGCAGATACAGAGCAGTAAAAGCAGTATTCTGAAAAAGTCACTGCAGTTTCGCCATTTGGACGAAGCCGTGAATGCGATAGCGAGAAATGAAAATATCTCTTCAAGAACGAGAAGCAGCTCAATACTTTCAGCACGCCGCTGCATCACAAAAAAGAATAGTTGAAAAGAACGCATAGGTATACTCAGGACAAGTGTGAACTAAGAACTGTCATAGTTATTACATATTTGTATTTGAGGAACGCACTGCAAACGTCTACAATGCAGAAGCTGACTCCATTTGCTTTTTCTTTTAAACTGTGGCACTTGGAATGACCCCTCTGAATTTCCTGCCACGTGGTGGAATTTGATGCCAAGAGTGCGCTTTGTTTTTTTTTCTTTTAGATCATGAGTGGTACATAAAGGGACCATTTTATCGTGCGTGTCTCAAGGGCATTTTTCTCTCTGAAAAAAAAATGTAAAAGCTATGATGATAGAAAATACGCTGAAGCTTCTTCGAGATCTGCGTGCGACGAGTGGTAAATGGTGCACATGAATAGCTCACCGTAATAGCACAGGTGCAAGCATGGTGCGTGGCTGTATTGGCTAGCACAGCGGCCTGTGGAGTGAGGGGTCGTAGGTTCCAATCCTCGATATGTTGCTTTGGAATTTTATTGCGATAGCAATTATATAGACAGCCTCGGCTGGTCTTTGCCGCCGCCCCCATGATTCACGTAAATGTATATGTATGTATGTATGTCTATATATCTATATATATATACCGGGAAGGATGCGCTAGCCTCTTCTCCTTTTTCTGTGGAGCGAACATTGCCTTTCCAGCCGGGGTCATCTGCACGCACGCTTATCCCATGAACAAACAGAGAGGGGGGGCACACTTATGGTTGCCACGACGCTAACGCGGCTTGTGCCTTCACAGCAGGCAGAAGCCTCTACGAGCTACGCTCTCAACACAATAACACGGTGCCAAAAGTGTACCTGGAGCGGCCGTGTTCTCTTACACCAGCGTTTTGTAGAGTTCATGAGCTCGAATCTAAATGAGTTGACTGCCAGCCTCACTTTGTATATTAACGCTGTCACTAGGCATAAATCCTATTGTGGTCATCTACTGTGGCTGCACTGAAAGAAACCTGGTTACTTAGCATGTGCATGTTTGCTACAATTTATACTGCTTCTAAAAAGTCTAGCCTTGCTTTGTAAAACATTCGAATATGTTGCTATTGTATTCATTGCTTTGCCCTTTTGCGAAACTGTGCCTTTTTTTTACAACAGGTTTATTTTTCTTTATATAAGGGTAAGTACGTATACATATCGGGGACTTCGCGGCGATGGCAAAATCAGAGGAGACTGTCCATTTATTTGCTATCACACCAATAATTAAACTGGTTATAAAGCAGAAAAAGTGCTCTAAAAAAGCTCGCATTCTCTAGTGGTAGGCATCACTGAAATGTTGCTCAAAAGGAAAAATTTGTAGTGTATCATACATGATTTTCTTATGAGTGCTATGTAATTTACCTTGCCACAATTGATTTGTCTACCACCTTACCACAATCGCAGTGTAATAAATGCATGGAGTCAGTATTGAACAATAGCAGTCAAATGAATTTACTATTCGCATCCAATGAAATCCAAACAGCAGCGAGCCTTTCCGATAGTGTAGTGTATGCCATCCAGTTATCGCCATTGACAGGTGAGCACATCCTGTTTGGCAGCTCTGCGGATATATGCAGGCCTGTCTATGGTGATAAATGGCACGCACTATACCATTACAAAAGCTTGCTGCTGTACGGGTTTCATTTGGCGCGCATAGTACTTATCAGGTGACCTGATACTGACAACTGGCATTGCATACAACACTCTTGATCATCCTATGTTATGCATATGAAACTAAACACAAGGCCATTTTCTAATTAAACAATTGAAAGAAGAAACACCAACATATTAGTAACCTTGAAGCAATCCAATTGGCTCCTCACAAAAGTGAAGCACAAATGTAAATAATGTAAGAGGCACCTTGCAGTACGCCTTCTATTTTGAAATTATACATTAAAAACTTCTCCCCTTTTCTTGCATTAGGCCCAAAGAACATCACCTGTCTATTGAAAAGCTTCACTGCCTTCGTTTGATACATCAGGTAGAAGCATAAATAGTTTATGATCTCACAAAACATCAGCATGCTGTGAATAGCCCGAGCTTTTGACCATCTACCATATAAAACTATTGTGATATCTCTGTCTTATCACACAATCTAGCTTCCCTTCATGGTAGCCCACAATATACCAATATGCAGAATTAGGGAGTCAGAGATATAGGCAAGCAGAGGACTGAGCACAATGCAGATGGCAATAGATGTAAATCTACATAAAATCCTTACCTAACATAAATATGCAGCACATCTGTGACTCAAAAGTAGTAAACAGCATTCAGCCATTAACACATTACCTGGTTTACCCCAAAACACCAATCCTTTATCATTATAATCACACATTTTCCAAAGCACTACTAGCACAATATTGAAGTATAAAAGTAGAGATAACTATCTCAAATTAAAAAAAAACAATTTAGTCCATTGTATTGTGTACCAACTTTTACATACCATAGCCCAATAAGCCTTAAATAATATAATCACACATCTCAGTGAATAACACCATCTCCATCTATAGTGTTATTAGGACAAGGAGCATCCAGGGCAGTGGCTAACTGTGACCCCTCCTATTTTAGGCAACAAAACTAAATACAATTTTATCTTCGCAACTTCTTTCCGCATGAAGTTTGTTTTGCAGCTAGCATTATTTTAATTCCTTCCTGAAATGTAGTGCACATATCCCATGCACAGACACTTGGCTACATACAAGAACAGGTTACCAACAATTCTGAGTGATGTTGAAAAAGGCGTCTCAGAACAAGGAAGCTTGTTAGAAGAAAAAAAAGAGAAGAAATGGTAGACCGGTAGATTAGGAATATACAGTCTCAGTACAATGTGTTGCATTTTAAAAGAGCTTGAGCAAAAAAAAATTAATCCACAAAGTTGTGCGAATTTTGTGCTATCCACTAAATTAGCTGGCCTCAGTAGAAAAATATTTCTACAATATTAAGAACAAGCACTATGAGGCAGTATCGGCAAAACATTGAATACACTTCTCAGGGATGACGTCTACATATTCCACTTAAATACCATATTCTATAGCACTCCTAATTATTAAGCTTTGCTTACGGCCCCCTCCAACAAATTTTGATTACTTTTATTTTTTTTAGAAAGCACACAGTTATTCCATTCAGCAGAAAGTGTGCAGTGCTTTTTCACTTTTTTTCTTGCCATTACGCTTATCAACCCCATTTCAGTGGCCAGCTGCTCACCCTCGAGTGCTGTACCTGGGATGATCCAGCTTCTCCTAGTGACATGACTGATTTGCATACAGACTGAAATATGTCATGATCGACTGCAGTTTGTTACACGTATAATGATACCAACACTGACAATGTCTTTCTAGTTCATGAAAATGTCATAACAACTGCAGTTTGGTACACATGTAAGAGACTAACAGTGACATTCTCATCTAATTCATGAAAAAGGCCACTTCAACAAAGTAGTAATGAAGGGTACTCAGTTAATTAAGAAGCACCCAATATGAGTAGGCAACAGGCAATGATCATAAAACAAAATATAACATGATTTGGGACATGTCACAGAAGTTTTGGCACTAAAGGTTCTTTCTCTGAAAGATACCACACTCAGCTATGTTAAAACAGATGACACAAATGAAAATGCAGGTTTTTTGGGAAGTGGTTGCACACATACAAAGGTAATTTTTTTTTTATTCCAAAAATTCGTTTGCAAAAAACACTTTCCAGAAAAACCGCTGTCAAGAAAATAGTAGCATCTGATCACTAAGTGCTCAAGTTTTCAATTAGGTCTATTTCAAAGAAAATGTTACATATGAATAAATAATCCATTAAGATTGTCCTTTGGATGAGTAATGTCAGGACATTTTCACTGGTATGTAGTCAATAACTATCCTTGCAAAATAATAACTCCCTCTATCCCATCAGATTAGCAGCACTACACATCCTGATTACACAACCAATAATATCTTTTTCCCCACCTGAAAATTTTCCTTTAGGAGGTCGTAGCAAATTTGTTCATTTAAAGTACAGGCATTTATTTTCAAGTACAACAAGCCTGTGAAAATTGAGACTTGTCTGCATTCAATGAGTTTTACCAGCAATAAAAAATAGCCACATTTAATATGCTGTTTACTGCACATGAGCACTGCCTCTCTTTTAGGCACTATTATTGCCACCACAGTAGCCTGGTGGGACATAAAAAGATAACAAAGTGATAAACAAATTTGTTCTATTCTGTAAAACTGTCTTCCCTGCTCACATTAGGAAAAGCAGCCATAAACAGAAGGCTTTGTTTTAAATACAATGCAAATATAAAAAAAGGACTGCAAACTATAATGGGTACCCCAATTTTCTTCTAGAAGCATTTTTTGTTACTTACTCTGCAGGCATGATTTTTTACACAAATGCTCAAAAATAGCCATCTGCGATTAGTTATATATACACACATATATAACACCAGATTTGTGACATTAAGAATGCATTGTTATTTTGTAAGGCTGCCAAAAGCGAGCAGTCCCTCAATACAGCTGACACAGCTATTTGACATTCCATCTAAGCACAGGAATGCACAACAAAGGGGGAAAAAAAGAAATTAATATACATCATAACTGCTATAGCAAATAGTACCAGATGAATACTGCAGCTGACAGAGTGCTGTGAATTTTTTTATGTGCATAGTTCAGGTGTCTTTACACATAACAAGAACCTCCATGGCACTAGAGAAAGAAAGCCATGACAAGAGTCTGCATAGTCTTAACAATGGCAAACTTTCATTATGACCCATTCCATACATAAGAACACATGATAAATCGTGAGACCCATGTGCTCTTGATTTCATAACACAACCTATCCCAGCAAAAAATTGCAGCAATGATAAAAGAAAACAAGATACAATTAACTTCTTAATTAAAGCTCCACAAGACCTCTGGATTTTGTTTGAATTATCAGAAGATCTCATAAATATGGCTGAGAAAGCATACCGACTGATGTTAGGGTGTTCATTGTTTCCCCCTGTTGTAGCTACATCATAGATTATGGCTCAGCATGACTGCCAGTAAAGTTTAAGATGTCAGCGATCATGCAGGTACTCGTTATTATACAATGAGTGCCTACAATTGTCAAAATGAGACAAAATGCACTGATTTTCACGACAGCTTGCAGCCACTCCAATTTTTAGGATGCGCTCCTGCATGACTTTAGTGTACAGCAGCAAATGTGACTAAAATCGTTTCACATGCAAAAGACCTAGGCCAGGCCGCCTTGGTTTCTTCTGTCTTCTTCCTCAGTCTGCAAGCGATGGCAGGTTAACACAGTTTGGCTAGTTGAGCTGTTTTATGTGCAGGCAATCAGCTTAATTTGCGACGGTTAGTGTTATAAAAATGTGAATGTAGCTAGAAGCAACAATGATGGCAGATATTTCCAGGCATCAACAAACAATGTTTGAATCAACCAAAGTTGGCCAATAGAAAAATTTGAATTGGGATGCTTTAAGATAGATTGGAAACATTGCAAACAACCAAATATTTAATTTCGTTTGCATTATTTGAAAGCTTTAATTACCACGAGTCGCCAGTACTACTGAAAGCACTAGAGCGAACATGCTTATTTTACCTTGATACTAGCATGAAGAATCAGTTCAATCATCTGACTAATTTATTTACAAAGCAAAAGCACATTTCTTGTTTTATGCCATTATTTGGTTAATTAACATGTGATAATCACTGTCTGCCTGTACAGTAAGAGTAAAAATAGAATTGCTTTATTAAGAGGGCCACACAGGCTGCTAGTGTATGAAAACATCTGCTATGTGTGCAAGAATACCTAGCAACATCACATCTCGCTATTTTTTCTGTCAGACACCATGCCATCTTGGAATATTTGCAGTTCTTGCCAGCTCTTCTGGTACGTGAGTATACATGGTGGCCAGCCACTGGACTGCTGACTCCGGCTGCACTTCTGGTGTTAAGTGAGGCAGCCATTGATTGTGGGTCACAATGCAGAGCTTTTGGCGGGACTGAATCTCATGTGCTATTCTCCTAGTTATGAACTAGAAATAAAGTTCTTAACAATCCTTTTTTCTTCATTTTCTGCATGCCTTTAAGGTTTTCTTCAAGCCATATCCCTAAGAGAACCTCCAGCCGATTTATCTCTTCCTGCATCGAACACCCTCTTCGAAGTTTTTTACACTGGTTGTCTACAACTTCCAATCGGCCCCTTGTCAATTAAAATAGTAATTCATAGGTTTTAAAACTACGTGTAATTATTAAGAGTAAATTTTATGACTTTTCAACTCAATTGCTCTTGTCTCTCAAATTTCTTCTATTGTGCATTGGCTCCGTTAATTACTGCAAGCTGGCAATAAAATTATGGCAATAATATTATAACACAAGCAGTTAGTCGGGCTTCAGGTGTGCAGCTTGCAGGCACAAATGGCATCCCCTCCTTGTTCCCCAACAGGGTGTTTGTGATAGCAACAAATTGTTGATTTGGGCGAGTTGGTTTGTGTGGCATACAACTTGAAGCAATACAAAAAAGACAATGATGGGAGTAGAGGATCAACACAAGCAGAATAAACATTTGTGGGCCCTCCCACTCAAGCATGTATGAAACTAGATGTTTTGGAAGCCAATACAAATATTCTTTTCCACTTTTTGGCTGCCAACAACACTGTACATATGCATGTATGAACCGATAACATGCTATTTTCTACTTGCCATTTTGTAGTTATAAGGAAAGGTATGACTCACATTGAAGTATTTACATCAGTTAGGACATTCCCAAGAGTTTACATTAAAAAAATTGAAAATAACTGAGATTGCATCCTAACTGCAGCGCTTAGGCACACCATAATGGACACTGGTACACCCAATAGGAATCCCATTTGTTCATGACTATAGTGTTAGTTGTAATATAACTAATCCCATTCTCTTTATGCAAGTATACTCACAAGAATGCAAATTGTTGAAGTGGTGACCAAACTACACAGCAATGTGCAAGACAGTTCGTAGTGGCAGCTGTATGGCTGCTGCTCAAGCGGTATCATACTATCACTATCAACCATACACGTAGGGTAGACGCCTTACATTTACGAGGCGTTTTAAGAAGCATAAATACACAAAATCAGAAAAGCATAATTTAGGTAAATGAATCTCATTTTTTAATAGTGCATATCTAGCCAAGGCAACATGGGCAACATATTTTCCATGAAACACCATCTGTACTCATATATTTGATGCTGTTTTTAAAACATATTACACACCCTCCATAACTGATTTTCTTCCTTAAATGTGAATGCTGATAGTACTAGCTTTGTCAGCTTCTCGACAAGTATGCATGCAGATCATTTTCAAGATTGCTGCTATGCAAAGAACTTAGCCTTGTAGTGCCATTTGCACCAGAGGCAAGTCTTGGAAGTATGTCTTACATTTTTCTTCAAGCAGTTTGTTTTTAAACAGTAGGCAAGTACATTGAGGGAACCAACTGTACTTGATTTTATGGTTTAAATGGTGATGTTACATGCAGATTACACTATATTTTATGCAAAGCATAAATTCAGTGATATGCTTTTAGATAAATGTGTAACACGGGAATCTTCTGGCTAAAAAAATAGTTGTCCTAAGTGGAATGTCAGCAAAATATTGAACACACTAAATATGCATGCATTTTTGTCAAAGTGTTTTCCCACATGCTTTCCATCAATTCTTACTACAATATTTGCATAACACAGCACACATCTGATACCCAACATATAAAACAAGAAATTGATGAATTATTTTGTTCAAAAGAAAGCAAGCAAAGCAAAATGCCTTGCCACACACTGCAAAGCAGATTCAGAAAAAATATCAGCATCTCCTCACATCCATAATGAAGGGAGTATAACAGCAAGCCATCTTAAACGCCATTGATTTCAGAATCTTCATTTTCACTTTCATCAATGGGTGCCCGGATGGCTTGGTACCACTGGTTGGTTAGGTCAGTCATTTGGATTTTGCCATCTTGCACCTCCTGCATGCAGTCATAAAAAATATGACACTGTCAAGCAAATGGCATATCAGTACACAGCTGTGTGTGTAACTTGGCAACTAAAATGCAGCACTGCTGAACTTCAATATATTGATGGTATACCTGAAGCAAAACGATTAAACTTAAGTGGAACAATGTTGCATTGCAGTTTCTGTCTTTCAGTTGTGAAGATGATGTTGTGCATTACTAAAGGCATTTATGTTCTGCTAGATGTTGTGCACATGCATTTGTGAAAATAGAAGCAATTTTAGTAGGCACACCATGCGATATGAGCACCTGTAGTTGCACAAAGGTGCTTAGAACACGAGTTCAAAAGAAAAAAAAAACAATTACCTTGCATGCCTATGAAAAAAAAAGTGCTTTCTGCACATCAAAATATCACTCTGGAAGTAAAAACACATCATTAACTGTCGACACAATGCATTGGAAAATATTCCAATGCATGACTTATTGGAATATTTGTACATGAGAAAAGTTTCCATTTTACACCCTTGTTGCCTGTAATACACCAGTCGTGTTTGGACGTTGGTACAATGAGCCTAAAGTTGTACTTCGATTGTGAAAGCGTTGTTGCAACAAAACTGCACTGTAAAACTACAATAAATTGATAAAGAACACATGTGTTTTAACGGGAGCAAGCAAGAAATAAGCAAAATGAAGTTTCTGATGAATAAAAAAGAATGGTTCTATCTCCTGCAAACCTAGCAGGAGCATGGCTCTCGATTTCGAGCTCTTCAAACCAATGGGAAGTGTGATATTTTTATTTTTGGGGGGCATTTTAATAGCATTTTGATTTATTGTGCTATGTTTCTATTTCATGTTCAAGTTGCAAGCAAGCTTGCAAAACACATACAATAACAAAGGGACCCACAGAGCAGTGTGCCACATCAACTACTTCCCTTCCTCTCCGCCTTGCCGGTTGATATATATATATATATATATATATATATATATATATATATATATATATATATATATATATATATATATATATATATATATATATATATATAACAAAAGAACAAGCGGGTACAGTACGAGAGAGTAATACTTTAATTGCTCTCGTACGTGTGCCCGCTTCTTTTCTTTTTTTTCTTAAACGCATTGAAGCCCCTAAAATTTCCTGCTGAATATATATATGTAATGCATGAATAAGGCGATGGTAGGAGAAGCTGACAAAGAAGAGGTGTGCGTGCATTAGAATAAATAGATAGCATCTGAACCACAACGTATCTCTGTTCTCACACGTCACACAAGTCAACAAGATCAACCACATCAACCTGCTATGGCTAGGCCAAAGCCTCCGCTCAACATACCGAAGTACAAGGGAACACCAGAAATGTCCCCGTCAACAAGTGACTATTCCTTTTCGACACGAAGGCCACCGAGGCATCATGGACACACCACGATCTGGTTAGTCACTTTAGCGATTACATTGAAGTGGAAGCGTTCAAGTGGTACTTGACAGAAATTTTCCGGCAGCGATGAGACATGGGACGATGCAAAGCGCGACATGCGAAATAAATTTGATATGACTGACAGAGATGCCCTTAGTCTCTTCATCCACTACTGGCTTAAAGGAGGGCAGACCATCAAGGAGTACTATGACGAGAAAAAATGACTGGGCTCCTTGGCCGACCTTAAAGAGTGCCACGTCATTTCTGGACTGACTGGCAGTGTTCCTCCTGATGTGGAACTGGCGCTCACCGGACTATCTTTCAACTCATCATCAGAGTGGCTCACCGCTGCCCAACCGGTCGAGACATTTTAAATACGGGTGAGAGGGATTTCCGTTACTCGAACTCCTAGTATTACATCAAGAGCTCCACGTCTCTTCAGCAGACTGCAGCAGCCAACATTGACTTCTCGGCCACACGTTCCACAAAATGAATGTAGATATTGCTCAGCTGCTGGTTTCCCATGACAGTTTCATTGGCCCAATAAATGGTCGCACTGCAGCAATGTGTCTGCTATTGAGACTAGACCGAGAAACGAGGAGAGCGACCCAGCGTTTCATTAATACAGTTCGATGCTATCATCAACGGAAGGCCAGTAACTGCAATTATTGATACAGGAGCAATAATTACTTGTATCAGTGAAGATGTGTACAAAGAGCTCAAGCTTCAGTAGATGAGAAAATCCAGCATCATGGTGCAGCAAATTACTTCATGCATTCGAACTTTTGGTCGCGTAAGCATTCAATTGCAAATTGGGGATGTCACAAAGAAAGCTTACGTACACGTTCTGCGAGACATGAAAAAACATTTAATTCTTGACCTAGACAGCGCTTCGTACTTCAATCTTTTTGTAAATTTGGAAAGCCAGTCAGTAATACAAGGACGTGAAAATGTCCACCTGTCAAGTCACAAGAAAAAAAACTACTAAAGCACCACTGATGAGAACCCTGATTTCAAAAAACTTGCCAGAACATAAATTGGCAGCGCTCAACTGTCTCTTTAATAAGTATGAATCCCAGACAAATATTGGATGCATCACTGCTGAGCAGCATAGGATTGCACATGCCAATGCTGTCCATATTCATCGAGCACCATGCAGATGTTCCCAGGCCGACAAAGCATAAATTAACAAGCAAGTTGACGCCCTCATTTAAGCAAGGTGCTATGAGGCCTTTGTTGTCACCCTATGCCACACCGGTCATCTAGGCCGAAAAGAAAGGTGAAAGACGTACTTGTCTATGTATTGACTATAGCAAGCTCAATGCCATAAGGGTACCCAGCAATCAACCAATTCTACTCATAGATGACATTCTGGACCACTTGGGAAAGGCAAACTTTTCACTATGCTATATGTAACATCGAAACACTGGCATGTCTGAATGCATGCTGACGAAACTAAAGAAACTGCGTTTGTCACGACTAATAGTCATTATGAATGATTAGTAATGCCATTCGGGTTAAAGGACGGTCCGGCTTTCATGGCTTGAAAGAGCCATGAAATCAATTATCGCCAAACATCAGATCACTAATGTTAACAATTACTTTCACGATGTGATCGTACACTTAGAGACATTTGACGATAATATATGACACCTCGAGGCACTGCTGAAGGCTCTTAAAGATGAGAATGTAAAAGTGAAACAAAAAAAGTGCCAATTTGCAAGATCCAGCATTGAATATTTGGGCACAAAATTTCACAAGGAATAGCGACCCTAAGCAAAGGATGTGGCTGCAATACTCAAATTTCCTACACCTAAACGAGAGAAAAACCTCCAGCGTTTCCTGGGCACTGTAAACACTTACTGTCGGTACAGCCCTCATTTCAGTGATTTTGCTCTCCCACTCACGAAAGTACTCCACAAAGAAAGCATATGGACGTGGACAGAAGCATGCGAGCAAGCTTGTTGGGAACTGAAGGAGTGCATAACTGAAGAAGCAGTGTTTCGCATATGCGACACTTCGAGACCATGTACTGTGTACTGTGATGCATCTGGCGAAGGCATTGGTGCAGTGCTGAAGCAACCTGATGACAAAGACAAGGAACATCCCGTTGCCTATAACTCCCGCAAACTACTTAAGCACAAGGTAAATTATGCTGTTACAGAAAGACTAAGCCTTGCCATTATAGATGCCTTTGAGAAATGGCACTGCTACCTTCATGGAAAGCCTTTCACAAGTAACAGATCACTCTGCACTACAGTGGCTAAAGAATATTAAAAATCCTCAGGGTCATCTCTTCCGGGGTCCATTGAAACTATCGATGTATGAAGTAAACATCAAACATCAAAAGGGCATAAGCAACGCCGAAACAGGTGCACTCTTCAGAGCCCCAATTGTTGAACTTCTGTCTTACGATGAACTTCAATGATGCAGTAATAAGTGCCCAAAAGGAAAGAATTCATTGGGAAACAACGTAGTCATCGTTAAAAAAAAAAGGGACTACAGAAAATCTATGTGCCCCATAAACTATATGCCCAACCATTCTTAAGAAGGGACATCAACATTTTGGGCATGTTGAAGTGAAGAACACGCTATCACTCTTGTCACCGCAATATTATTGGCCGGATATGGTAACCGATGTTTCCATCTACATTTGGCATTGTGATACATGCCAGAGATGTAAGAAGACAAAAACAAAGAAATATGGAACACTTGAATTCCTGCCTTCTGCTGAAGAGCATTTTGGCCTTTTTGCGACGGACACCATTAGGGGATTTTTTGGATATGGTTCATTAAAAAGGTTTATTCACTTGGTTATTCACCATGCTACTAGCTACGAGAGATGTTCGCCCATAAAAGTGAGAACAGCAACGCCTACACCTCACGCTTAAAAACAATTTTTGTTGTCGTAAAACCGAGGAAGTCCCTTTAGATCACAAGACAGGATTCACTGCAGGAAGATTTGAACAGTTTGCAAAAAATAAATAACCGAATACACCAACTCTCCATCTCATCTCATCATCCGCAATGCAATTGTCTGAACGAGCAGACAAACAACACCATCGTAACCAGACTTAAGTGCAAGATGAATGACGAGCCACAGAAGTGTTGAACTAAGCTGCTGTCGGTGGTAATAGATGAATACAACAGAATGCCTCACGAAGTTACCGGCAACGCATGGTTCATCCTGATATATGGAATTCCATCTTACCCAACTGTACTGAAACAGCAAGAACAAACATTGGAAGAAGTGCGGAAAGCTGCTGTTAAAAATTATATCGCATACGACAATAAGAACAAAGTAATCTATGGCAAGGAATTTCTTCAGATTGAGTTCCAAGTCGGCGACTTCATCCTTTACAAGACACCATGGCATCCCAACAATGGCAAACTGAGTTCCGTCATAGAAGGTCCCTACAACATTCTACGCAAGGTCTCACCAGTGAACTATGAGATCAAGTGCTCCTTGTTACCCTTAAATAGAAACTTCAACATTGTTCATGTTAGCAAACTACAATGTTACTTCGCACCTTCTGAACAGAAACTTTCTTGAGAAAAGGGGAAAAAGTGTAATGTATGAATAAGGCGATGGTGGGAGAAGCAAACGAAGAAAAGGTGCGCGTGCATTAGAATAAATGGATGGCCTCTGATTTATGACGTATCTCTGTTTTTCTAACCTCTCTCTCTCTCTCTCTCTATCTCTCTCTTACTCACTCACTCACATGCACACACACGCACACACACGCACACACTCACACATATTGTAGGCATCTATTATGCACTTCATCTTTATCTGTGCAGCAATCAATCATCCTCATTCATTTGGCTGATAATCATTGTTTTTAGGTGTGCCCTTCACCACCAGATACGTGGTGCTTGTTTGCTCCAGAGTTTGCGGCCAAATAAGTGTCATTACAACCGAGTCACCATAATGTGTGTGTGTGTGTGTGTGTGTGCATGCGCATGTGGCAGTTCAGGAGTGACTGGGAAAAATGAGGACAGTGAGAATAAACTGCTGTTCTGACTGAGGCCATGTCTCCATCATATATATACATATATGCATACCGTGATATGCATACCAATAAAGGCAAAAGCCTTTATTGGCTCATTTTCGTGGCGTTCGAAAATGAGCCAAGTCAGCCTGTGTCCTGAAACAGTACCAGCTGTGGCATCCCCCCTCACACTCTCTCAGCCACCACGTGATGGCACAGCTCTGCATCGCAACAGTTGCTCCACCACCGCTGTGGCTTCTCCCCCTTACACTCCCTCAGAAATTATGTGATGGCATAGTTATGGTGTCTGACCATCCAAGCCTCTTAACACTCTCTCAGCAATAACGTCATGGCATATCGGCGCGCGTGGCAATGCTTCTTGGTCAGATGTTTCATTGCAGCAGTCTAGTTAGTTGAATGGCTTCCAAGCAGCTCGGTGAGGATTCCATGGAAAGAGGTTCGGAGGAGCGCCCCAAGAATGAATTCCCTTGATACCAAACGCCACATGAAGAATGAGTGAATGCGCATGCAATGGGCTGACATATCACACCAGGCACTAAGGCGAGGGAAGCAGAACGAAAGTGACAACAGTGAGTGAGTGGCCATGTCGTCGGGCACCAAAGCCACAGAAGCAGAACGAAAGCTACTTCACCAAGTGGCCGCATAAAAAAGAAAAGAAAGAGAGAGAGAGAAAGAGAGATAAAGAGAACACGGCACAGTCAGATGAATGGCTACAGGCTCAGGCTTTCACCGAACACACTCAAATTTACAGTATTCTTCAACTTTTTTAGTGTGAAACATCTTTGCTCACTGCCAAGGTCTATGCTGATGATGGTGCCAATTGATCATTGCACTAGGTCATAAAGTGAATATTAAAAATTTTGCATCACTAATACCTGCTAACTAAGTAGAAATAATATAAGAATGCCTTAATGAGTGCTACATGATGGCAAACCAAACGTTGTTGGTTTTATTCAGTTGTAGTGACCCACTTTTTTCAAATTCTTGGATCTCGTGACGTGAAAACACCCTATATATAACAACTGTCATTAGCTGCTCTTTCTTTTTATTGGGTATGATTTGTGAAATCTGAACAAACTTGTTCTCATTTTATCGGAATGCACAACTGTATCTGCCTACACAACTGTATCTGTTGATTAAATGTTTTGAACTTTCAAGCAAAAGCTGGGGTGGTGTTCTGTAAGAATGCATTGAACAAATGGCCCATTTTGGTATGCATTGATTCAATGGAACCCAGGAGCCAGCAGATTAATGCGAATCATAACTGAGAGCCCTTGAGTATATTTAATTAGCACATGTAGAAACTGACAGTCCACTAAGACAATGCTTACAGAATAGCACATGTGGAGCCCTGTTAAGCTGCACTTTTAGAGCCCCTGCCACCTAGTTTCATGTAAAGGAAAAGAGATAGAGAGTTTACTTAGCTATAAAAAAAATAGTCACCTTTTGTGTAAATCGGCGAGTGAAGAAAGGAATGAGGTACTTTATATCCAGCAGAATGAAGCCTTTTATGTTGCTCTTCATGAAGTTGACCTCATATTCTTCTTCTGTCAGTTCAGATAAATGATCTGCATCAATAGTTTGACCCTACCAGAGAGATGAAGAACAAATGTACTTGTTAGGCATTTCACACAACAAAATTTGGAATGCTCAGCAGAATGCATTAGGCAAGTGATATTGAATTACCAAGTAGCTTTCAAAACAAAGCCAATGATAAAGAAAACAAATACCACAGCAAATAAGTAATGATATGTGGGGTTTAACGTACCAAAACCACCATATTATAATGAGAGACCCTGTAGTGGAGGGCTCCGGAAATTTTAAACATCTGAGGTTTTTTGACGTGCACTCAAATTTGAGCACACGGGCCTAGAGCATTTTTGCCTCCATCGAAAACACAGCACAGCAAATTAGTAGTTTTTTTCTGATAAGTGACATAGGTATAGAAATGTTCACACTTGATAAGCTGTAAGTCAGATTATATGATGTGAACACATTTGAAATTTTTTAATATCACACAAGTGCTGAGTATGGGACATGTTAGAGCCTAATAATGTTGAGAAGTGATGAATTGTATTGTACAATGTGCAAGCAGAGAAAGCACACTCAAGTGTGAGCATCATCTGCTGCACTGTTTTAGTTTGACAGCACCATGCAAAAATGTGCATCAGTGAAACGATTAAGACTATGCATGTGTACAATGCATACCCCAGCCCAAAGGTCCTTGGCTGTGCTGTTATGCTAAGGCAAAATTGCCCCCTGGGCTCTCTGGTGTATTATCCATTTCTTTTTTATTTTTCCTTTACGTGTGCTACCTCAAAGCATAAGTGATGAAACACTTCCACAATTAGACCATACTTCAGCTCAGGACCTACGACATGCAAAATTGATCTTTTGGATTCTCATTTATAAAGCCATGTTACAGGTAAGCTTCCTTGTCTGGGTTTGATTCCAACTTCGTCACAGAACAATTGAACGATGTATTCTTGTCAATACTACAATGCATGTTTTGACTATTGGTATGCTTTTGCAGTTGTGCTGGTCCAAGGGGAAATCCAATGAAATCCAAATTCACAACTGCGAGTTTCAGCAATATGCGACAGTTAAGTAATTTTCAGGATCATTGTGTTCTTTTCAATGCTACTTTGCATTTTATATGCCAGCCAGCCAGTTTTTATACCAAAATTTAAGTTTGTGAAGCCTAAAACTTCATAATATTTGAGTTCCACTGAAACTCATTGTCAGAGACTCCCTGTCATTAGAAAATAACACGTCGTTCAAGCTTCACGCAAGTTTTCTAGGAAAATACACCCAGAAGGGGTTTACAAACAGCGATATTACTGAATGTATATAATGAAGATGAATGAAAGATGGCATTGCTTTACAAGCCACATGTGTGCATGAAAGTCTAGTTTAAAAAATCACTAATGTAATTTAAGCAAAAATTTTGATTAATAATCAATAATGTTTATAATTTGTGATGCATTACTTCAGTGGAGCTGTTAAGTTTTTTCATTTCACAACATATGAGGCTGTAGTGATAACTTGTAACTTTCAGCTTCAGCAGTACAAGTAACCAGGCCCTTTAAGTGGCAATGCTGCAGTGGCATAAACCTATGAATTGTAGCACTGGTGTCGCTAAGCATTCACTTGGGCAGCTTGCTGAGATATAAGCACTCCTAGAAGTTGCATCACTCATTCTGATGATAATGTTGTAAGTGGCTGGCAATTTTGCTATCTTATGCCCGATGTGCATAACATTCACTTTTTTCACCTTGTCCTATTTAGGTTGGTCACACAGTACCTATTTCTAAGAGAACACCGTGGGTAACATAGCCGGTACATTTTCTCTGTTTTATCCTCTGTTAAGCTCAGCATTTGCTCCCTTTCATCATGTGCTGTGCAAGAGCTGCACTCTAAAACAGTCCCACAGAACACTGTGAAAGAAAGCAACAAAAGAATACTTTTTAAAAAAGGTGTCACCCTCCCCCCCCCCCCCCCCCCCCAAAAAAAAAAAACTAAGGAAGGGTGAAGCATGCAGGGAAGGGCCTTTCAGCTCCACCAACGTCTCGGGAGGGGCAAAGAATGCAGTACAGTTTCAATTAATGCGCATGCAGCGAATCCCTATTGTTCAACTTTGCACAAGAGAGATCTCCCACCGGTACAACATTGCAGGTAATTATATAACGGGTGCCTAGTGAAGAATTGTGCAGTGTGAATAGTCAGTTTTTTAAATCAAGAAACTCACTGGCAGACGCTGCCTCCATCAGCGTTGTCTCTCACAGGCGAGGGCGCGTTCTCGCTACTTGCGCACTAGTAGTTTAGCGTTCATTGCAGAAAGAGCATTTCCATAGTCAACGCGCGCCGTTCGCTCTCTCTCTCCACATAGTGAGCATCGAGATGGTGGCACCCTCTCTTGTGCCAAGCAAATGGACGGTCACAACAGCATGCAATACGCACCGACATGCCGAGAGCCCCAGGTGCTTCGTCCCTAAAAGATTACTCACCATTTCTTTGGTTTTGCTAAGAGTGACTTGGCGTGCTCTTCGGCGCTTTTTTCTAGTTGTCTGTTTGTCCGCCTTCAAGAACTGAAGATATAAGGAGTACAAAAGACACAAAAGAATAAATTTTTCAACTGATAGTGTTTTACCTTTAACAAACTAGTACTCCCGCAGAATAAGCAGAAGTATATACTATACTAATACCTTAAAAGGTACTGACACAAAAGTTTTGCCAAAATTCTTCTTTCTATTAGATAACTGCCCTACTGCTGAAGCCTAGCTGCTTGCCACCTCAAGCTATTCATTTTTATGCTGAATTTTAGCTCGGAACCAGAATGTGGTACAGCCTCTTCACCATCTCTCCTTAATTATAAGGTTTCGGTGACACAATCATGGTGTGACCACAGATTAGTGATATGCATCCAACACTTCAATTTATATGACATGTGGAAGAGTCCCCATTAACATGCTTGAAGCTATTTTCCACATGGTGCACACTGGTGGTCTTAATAGAAAATGCAATGCATAGCTACATCCGTGTTCAATACACTGTGCCCTTACAACATGAATGAAACAGTGAAAGCTACATAACAAGCTAAAAAAAGTGATATGAACAGTCCTGTCAGTATTAATTTGATGATTAAGAACAAAGCACTGATAAAAACAAAACACTGGCAGTACCCATTCTTTTTGTCTTCCTTCATCCGTGTGTTGCTAGCACTGTTTTTAGGATGAACCTGAACAAACAAACCCATTTTTGTGCTTTCTTTTTCTGAACGTCTTTTTTTAATCTTCTGAATTGGTTCTAAGAAATTGCATTACGATAAAATGCGAGTTACTATTCCACATTTTAATATCAATATCAAACTTACATTCTGAAATTTTACAAGCCGAAACCACAAGAAGATTATAAGGCATACAAGGTGTGGAATTGGATTAATCCAGACAACCTGAAGTTCTGCAACATGTACCTAAACCACAGAAGTGCTTCTTACTCCAAATTTCCAACTTAAGAGATATTCATTATAGTTTAGAGAGAGCACAAGACAAAAATAATGAAACTGCAGCATGAAATAATGAAATGCAACAATTTTGAGACACGATGAAGAGCAGGAACAGCAGGCTTCAATGGTCACAACTCAATACAACTGCTTTGTGCTAAGCAGTGCTGCTGCCGGAGGATAATAAGGCTAATTCCAATTTTACAGTAATAAATCTTTTGAACAGTAAAAATAAAGCTTAAATCAAGCAATCAATGCCCCAGGGTCTTTGTCTCAACTACTACAACAAAGTTTCCTTATGAACATTGAACAATACTGTATATACTTTGAGAAATTTCATTATTTTTTTTATTATGCAGAGTCAAACCATAGTATTCTTCACTGACAGAACATTATACAGTTTTTGTGTAACTGCTTTCCTCTAAACCAATTCATGTACATGAAGGTTGCAACAACGCCCACCCCGGATAATTGTTTAGTTTTTTAAGCTGCACTGTGTGTGGTAAAAAGCTATGGAGGAAAGCTGGTGTAACCCTAAAGTTTGCAAGAACAAAGCAATAAAGATCAGAGTGTTTACTGTCACTTGTTTACTAACAGTGATCTTTGGGAGAGGTGGTTTCGTGATGTTCAGCATTACAACTTGTCTCTTGAAAAAATACTTCCGTGTGTGTTTTGACAATGGCACGATATCGCATGATGTCATTGTAGACATTGCACAAAGCAGTTGCCTGCTTAAGTTATGGCTATGGAACGTCTTTTTTTGGTTATTTAAAATTATTGACAAGACTTTAAGCAAATTGAACTACAGTCGAGCCTGCTTATAACGAACCTGAGCCTGACATGGCATTCGTTCGCTGTATCCCGAAGTTCGCAGTAAATGAAACACAGCTTTAAAAGAAAGTTGCGAGTGAAAACACGAACTTTTTTTGCCCAAAAAGTTCGTGATGCTTGTGTTTTAGAGAGCAGAAGTGATAAGGGTGGTCTGGAGTTCATTTAAAAAGGCAGGGTGCTCGTTTGTCGAGGCCTGTGGCATAAGCTGCATGACTGAGGCACTGGCTTCAAAATATCGTTGTTCTCGCAATCCAATTCCTCCAAATCGCTCTCGCCACGTACTTCATTCACAATGCCTTAATCCGTGCACGGTCCCGCAGTGTCGGCATCATCATCGGCCGCAATTAAACCATTGCAATAGATGTCCCACCCGCTCACCCAGGTCGGAGTCGATGACGCGCTGCCGGAGTGATCATATTCGGAAGCTTTAGGCTCGGCATCGGGCCCGACGTCGATGAAGTCAGCCTCGCGAAAACAGTATAGCGCGCGTGTAGCCATCACCGCCACCCACGAACTATTCCCCATCTCCACAGCTGAATACCGGGACCCCTGAAGCGGCAAGTTGGCTGCCAGGTGATCACAGCTATGAGCGAACGCTCCGCAACGTGGCACCTAACGTGCGGATTACGCTCAAGTCAAGCGGTCACACTTTCGACGTTTTGTTGGGCGAAAAGAAAAAGCGTGCAAGTCCTCCCGTCTGCCATTCTGACAACAAACGCACACCAAGAGCGAGCAAGACGCGCACACGCGACACGCATGCAAGAATGCTTGGAAGAGCTCTGGGCCCGTTTCTAGTCGCAAAACTAAACTAATTCGACCCAGTGTGGCTGGCGTCGCGGAGCGGTGGAGACGGGCGAAGGGGTTGTGGTCAAGAGAGGAAAGCAGATTTGCGAGAGAAGGGCAAGGAGTTGCGATAGAGTGAAGAGAGGGGAGGATGTGGCGGGAGGACGACCTTGAATACCAAAACACACGAGAAGGAGGCAGGTTGGGTAGCAAAAGTCTGCAAAACGTGCAACTCGCACGTAGAAAAACTTGAGAGAGTTTTTAAGAGCGAATGCACTTTATGAGCGACCCTGAATCCGCCGTCTGCGGTGCGCCTCCTCCTCTCCCCTAGCAATGACGCAAGGAGCGGAGAGGAGCGTCTGTAGCAACGGCGCAGCGACGTCACACGCCACGTGATTGCGCAAGCTCCGCCCTCCGCTCCGTGGCTGCGCGCGCCGCCACGACTTGCTCGAGATCGGCAAGTCGTCATAGGTATGGATCCATCGCAGGCATCAACCTCGACTGCAATACCTCCAATAACGAGCACAATGCAATCAAATGCGAGCATTGCACGCGTTGTTGAAGATGTCGCGCCGCTTGAACACAAGGCAGCGCGGCGAAGGGCCCGTGATGCCGAGCGCAAGCGGGCGAAGCGGGCCGCGGACATAAACATCATTATAATGCGAATTTACTCTCACATATACGCGTAAACTCACCAAGATTTACCGAGAGGGTCTAATGGTTCCTGGAAATCGCAATGTGATCACACGGGGGAGTTTACATTACCTCACTGGCGAATGCCAACGAATTTTAACTTTACTCCCCTTCATAGCATCACCCCGTGCATTCGCAATTAACCATGTTCACCCTCGGGGAAATGCTTGGGAGTATTTGAACTTGAAGCCGGCACTGACCGGTTTGCGTGGCCTCATCAACTTCGATATTTTGCGATTCGTTTCAAGCAAATTAACAGCCATTTTCGCGCTTCTGCACGCGTGCGGAGGGCACGCTGAGCCGAGTGCGAAGTGAGCGAGAACAAGTCCTAAAATCTCAAATTATCAGAGTCGTAAGGGTAGCGTACGCATTTGCACTAGACGCAGACGATCAGATACAGTTGGTGGCCGACGATGTTGGCAAATGGTCTGGTCAGTCCAGGCCGGCGACGTCAACGACAGTATCAGCGATCAAAAACAGAGTAGATGGCCGACCGATCTTAGAAAGATTGGTGGCAGTCTGAAAATACGGGCCTCGTCTGGCGATGCGGGGTGCTCAGAGAAGCGGGGGGGACAATAGACGGAGGGGTGCATAAGAAAAAGCGGCCGGGGAGAGCGGCAACTAGAGGGGCGCGGAGGCAGGATTGGCATTTAACAATAAGTATCTATGGGCATCTCGCCGATGCCTGATTCGTGGTCCAAAGTGGTTTTTGGGGAAGTCGGTAGAGCGCCGACTCCATTCGCTGTAACCGATCAGCGGCGCTTGAAGACGTTCGTCATAAGTGCGACTTTATGCCATTGAACCAATGTATATTTTCACGGTTATGTGGATATTGTTCGTTTTAAGCGAAAGTTCGTTTTAAGTGGGGCCGTTATATGTGGGCTCGACTGTATCCTAGGAGTTACAGAGCTGTCAATAGCATTTGAGAATGTCAATATGTTAAAGGGGCACTGGCATAAAATTTTGCATCTTTTTTTTTCTGTTGCAATATGTAGCTAATAGCACAGTTATCATGCCTGGATGCCTAGTTAGTTCATGTGCATGATGCTTAATTATTTGGAGACATTTTGTAGCGCTAAGTAACAGTTTTTGTTTCAGAGGATGCTGAAAGAGGCAAGAACCAGCATGACTTTCATGTAAACAATGCTGGTTGCGGGAGACACAAAACCAAGCGCACATGAGCTTCGTGTTTACTTTTTTCAATGCATGCTTTCCGAGTGCTGAAATAATCCCCTCTGGGGTGTTGTAAAGTACATGTGATGCCCAAAAAGTGCACTGCTGAGGCAAGGCCACTAGGCTTTGCACTCCCACGCAAGTTCATAAAAAGGTGCTACGTCCTATGTTAAAGAGATCTCCTGGAAGAGAGCATTTTTAAGAAGAATGGCAGCCAACACAAACAGATGGTTGTTTAAATTCATAAAAAGGTCCGTGTCAATGTCGTGAGGCAGGGCGTTTTTCAAGCAGATACATGACATATGCTTAAAAATAAGATTTTAAATATGTTGCAGACTATATTAGTCCTTGACATTTTGCAGATAATGCGTGCATGTTGATACAGATCTATCCCACAAGTTATCTCACCTTCGAAAATTTGTGTCAGTACTTCCTTAACAAGGTAAAAAATGTGTTGTTTGCATTTTTAAGGCATCACTTTTTGTGCATCTATTAAAGATGTACATCAAAAGCAAAGAAGTGTACAAACCATTTACAAGAAACATTAATTTTTATTTGGCGATTCTCTATCAATGAGCTTCAAGAACTTTGAAGCTGCATCACCTAATGTGGTAACTATGTATTGCTTAAATAAAAGTTGCACAAGCAAACTGAGAACTAAGAATCTCAATTTATGTTAATAACAATCACAATAAAGCCTAATGGTACCGACAGCCATTCATTTTGCTTGTTGTCTTCATTATGATTTCGACAAAGTTTAATTTATTATAATGTACTTCATTGTTAGATATGCTGATAAGACAGTTGTTTTTTATGAAGATCGCAGAGGAATAAAAGTAATGTAAATGAGGTGAAAAAAAGAATGCTTAAAAACAAACCATATTATTTTTTTCCTGCCATCTTGTTCACAGAACGCTTGGATTATAACATACATCTTTTGTCAACACGCTAGCACTGCCGCCTTATATAGCACAAGTGCTGAGCTTGGTGAATTTTCTTGCATATTTCATTAACAAATATGTATTTTACTTCATACACTTTCACGTGATGATATATTACAGAGCTGACATTCGAAAATATTGTGTTAGGTATCAAAAAGAAGTTTTTCGCAAGGCACTTCTACAGTGCAATCTACTTATAACGATATCCAAGTGCCAACAAAATCCCATCGTTATAACCAATAATTGTTAAAAGTGGGTTCAGAAGAGGCAGACAAAATAGTAGTGAAAACATTTTTATTTGCATGCAAGTAAAGTAGTTCGACTATGTACTTGTTTGTAGAAGAGCCATAGTCTGTCAGCTTTGTTTGCTACTTGCAAAGGTTGCGCACATATTTCTCAAGAGCATGAAGGTACTTTCCGTTGCTAAAAAGGAGGTCCTTCGCCTAAAGAAAAGTCCCGGAGGGACTATCATCCACTAGGCCTTGTGCAATAAGACTACCTGGGTAGGCTGCTCCATCACGTCGTCGAAGTTTACGCTCTAACCGCTGTCCTCCACAATACATGGCATGATCGCCTCGTCACTGAGGCATTCGGACATTTCCGCAACATCGTCTGCATGAAGTAAGTAGTCCAGACACGACAAATCTTTGTTAAGCACTAACCGCAACTCTGACAGCTCTTTGTGGACAAGTGCTTCCCAGGCCTCTCCTGGCATAGATTCGGATGTTCAGAAGGAAAGCTCCACCTTGTTTTGCTGCCTCGTAAGAAGTGCAGTCAATTTATATTCTGAGGATGTGGATGGGGGGATAGTGATGCATGCCGTCAATGCAAAAAGCCATTTTTGGCGCACGCGGTAGCTGGATTCAATTACTAGATCCTATATCACGGCACTGGAACATCGTAATAGGCGGTTTATTTTACCAAAAGTGAACGGTGCCATTGTTGTTCATCGTTACATTCGACAGATGGTTGTAAATGATATTGTTATAAGTGGACTAGATGGTACGCCACTTGCAAAATTTACCCTTTGCAAAAATGTACTGTGCAACTCTTTCTCCTAAATACCTTCTATAGCTGTTGTCCTTTGCATAATCATAAGTATGAGTTAAGATGCACACACAACTTCTTATTTCTGTATAACGGAAAATCATTTGAAATCTATGCTAAAACTTTGGCATAATAAACTCAGATATAACAAATTATCGGTTATAACGAAGTAAGCAGAAAAGAGTTTTGTTGCAGATACAGTGCTAAGAATATATGTTTATAACAAATTTCTGGATACAACAAAGTATTTTCATGGTAGATCTGACATGTTATAATGAGGTTTTAGTACATGTTTTTTTTTGTAAAGCAAGTCACAAGGTAATCATTCTTTAATTTATTACAATAACTGTGATATTGAAGATGAGGTTGAACACAATGCACACACAATTAGTCTTTTCAATTAGATGCTGCTTGGACAGAACAGCACACCATCTTTAAGCGAGAGTAGTGCATCAAGACCTCAGAAAACAACAAAAACTGATGAGGTCATGTGGTATAGAATAACATAAATGTAATCATGTTTTTGCTACCTTGTTCTATAGCCAAAAGTGTTCTTCACATATCTATTCTTCCATCGCAGCCTCACTTGAAGTACACATGCTTCACATATCTATTGTTCCACCACAGCCTCACTTGAAGTACACATGCTTCTGGTCTGAGCGAGGGGTAAACCACCACAGATGAGAAGGCGCAACACTGGTTTCCTGCACCTATAGCTACATTCCTCCTGCACAAACAATCATTTTTAGTTTTCTCTTGTTCTCCATCTTTTATTCTCCTCCCCCCCCCCCCCTTGTTTCTCATAGTATCTTTTTACTTTTATGTATTTTAAGCTCTATTCTCAGTTACCTTTAATCTTTCACTTTCTCTTATTATCAATAAAGTTCTCGTTTCATCTTAGAATTTTTAGAAGTGCAGAATGGCCATGGACATTTTCTTTCTGGTTCATTTTTTCCAGATGGTAAGTACTAACAGTCACAGCCTGTGAGGCGACGTCAGTGACTAACCCCCTTTAAAACTATGCCCACGATGACAAAATGTCTTTGACAAAAGTAGGTTGACCAATCAAAACATTGGTTAATTGGCAGGATGCCCCTGCTCTTTTTCATACAACCCCTATCGTAGAGCACAATGAAAGATTTAGAATGCCCGAAACGTGAAGACAAGACTCCTGTTTTTTTGTTTTTTTTTAGAAAACTACATTTGTTATAGAGTACAGTCATAGACACATCTGCCGATTCGCTTTGTAAGACAGTAACAGCATTGCAACACCGTAAAAAAAATTCACCATGTAATGCAAGTGTAACAAAAACAGTGGCTTACCAGAAACAGCCATTTAAAGTGTTGTCCATTATCAAACACCTTCGTTGCAGAGCAGTTATGAAGATGTTTTTAACAGGTTAAATTATTTCCTTACCTTCAAGAGAGGCATTGTGGAGCCTCCTATTACCAATATTGTGAACAGCACTATAATGAGAGTCGTCGTCACAACCACGTGGCGCTTCTCATCATCAAAGTCCAAATGCATAGCTAAAGCATATGCAATGGCACCTCTGAGTCCTAAAAAAGAATAAAAAAAACAAAAAATGAATACACAGTGTCCTACTCAAAGAATGTCCAGAGTCACTTGCCATGACATAAAAGAAAATACCAACTGCACATGAAACTAAAAAGAAGTAATAATTTATAACGCAAGACCTCATAGAAGCACCACTTAGGCTATTGTAGATTGCCGCACTTCTATTTATGCTAGACGTTTGCAACCGCACATTGACATCGTTCATTCAGAGCTCATGAACTGTTGGTACTTAAAATGTTAAAAACTTGTTTTTTTTTTTTTTAGTAAGTGTGAAATATAGTACTGTGGCCATGCTAGCATATGAATTAAAATTACATGGAAGCAGTGACAAGTATTTTAAAAGCAGCAATTAATCAACATCTTTGTTTCTTAATTTAGGGCTGCTTAAAAGCAAAGTAGGTGAGAAAAAGAAAATGGGAAGGGGGCCTCAAGATAGAAAGACCGAGCTGCGTTTTTTCCAGTAAACATTCCTTAAAAAAGCCAAGAGTAAATATTGTAATAAATCAGTGTGGTGCAGCACCTAGATGACTACTTCGTAGAAAGTAAAATGTTGTTAACAAAAGCTGAGAAGCTCCACGTTAAGGGAGGACGCACCCTTTGAAAGCTGAAAAATCACGAAAAAGTTGTTTTTTGAAAAGCACATATTCGGGTAGTAGGGCTTAAAAACTATCTGTTCTGTAAATATCAATATCTAATTCATCGCGGAGGTACGTCAAATAAGTTATATAACATGCCGCGGCAGCCGACGAGTGGCCACCGAGCACTGAAAATACCCTTACTTCGCGTGTTTGCAATTTCTCAACCACGCGACCCAGCGCCGACATCTTGGTCTTGTTTTGCTCGTGAATTCTCGCTCTTTTTTTTTTTTTTTCACCACCCCTGGCAGCAACAGCGGCAAGGCCAAGGCGGGAATCGCTCATGATTGGGGGGCTCTCGAAGTTTTGAAGTCTCCCGCGTCTCGGATGCGAAGCCGCGATTGGAGGAAGCGCGCACCTCTCGAAAAGTGGCCGATCCTCCGGCTCCCATTGGCTGCTGCAAGCGATGACACATCTGTTCTGCTGACTCACTGTCTGCTCCGGCACTTGCAAGGCCGGCTTGCTTTTGTGTGTCCCATTTGCCATCATACCGCTCGGTTCTCACATGTGCTCTACAATCTTTCACCGTCTTTACGAGACGACCTTTCACCGTGTTCACGGGAGACCAATTGTAGCGCTGTCGATCACAATGGGCAAAACAAAGTTCTGGACTCTATATGCATACGGTTCAAGAAAGTGTCATATAAAGCTTGTGTGCATGGCGTGGCTTGTTGACCCAGCAACACGCGACAACAATCGCATCGATGCTTCCGGTGGAGCAGTGTCCGCTTTGCCTCTGCAAGACAACAACTGCATTGATGCTTATCGCGACGTAGAGGTGGCTACACCATCGGCGCAAGACCCCCTCGTCACAACTGAGGTTGGTGTTGGTGTTCCGTGCACAAGAGCGCCTGATGCATCGTGCTTGCTAACCGCAGTGATTATGGGCCCGAACAGTGCGACTGCATCGTCGACTGTGCTTGCAGACATGTTTTCGGATATGCGAGAAGTTAGCCGTGGAGGACAGCAAACGTGCTGCTGTGCAACAAAAAGCTCGGTGCTATGCTGGCGACCAAGAGGAAGTTTCGGATGATGCCTGAACCTGATGATGCCTGAACCTACGACTGAAGGCGAGAAATATTTCCTTGTGCAAGAGAATGCCCTTAACGACCTTCTGTCTAAGACCACCTGCCGGCGCTGCCTCGCGACTGGGGTGAACTTTCAACGAGCCACCCCAGCTTGGACTTGCCACGAAGCTTCAGCTATTATGTAAACAGTGTGTAATAGTTTCGAGCTCGTGGAGTTCTGCTCGCCAGAATCAGTCAAAAGCCGTCAACGTGAATACAAGGGCTATTATGGCCGTGATGCAAAAAGGGAAAGCGCAGAGTTTTGATGTACAATGCTGGCTGCTACTGGGCCACCCAAGAGTTGTCGTCATCAGTAGGGCTCACACCTGGCCACCTAACCAACCAACGGGCTGCAGAGAAAGACACTCTCCGTCTGAAAAAGGCTCAAAAACGGATGCATCACAAGAAGGAAAAGTGGCAAAAGAAGAAATTCCCAAAGGACACCTCTAGCTACCGTGAAGGGTTGTTTTAGGCCAAAAGTTTTGTTCAAAACTTGCCGTTAAGTCCGTTTTCTCGGAATAACTTTATTGGCCAATGATACTGTTTAGTCTGCCGATATCTCTGTAACCGCTCATCTGATTTCTATCAGACTTGTTTTACTATGTACTTTAATAAATAGCCCACACAGTGACAGTGCCACTTTTTAAATTTATTGCACCTATAGTATCTGATAGTTAACTAAAATTTCATTGATGAAAGCTCAATGGCAAACACTAAATCCAGTGCACTGCTAAAAATTTTCTTCATGGAAATTAAAAAAGGCTCTGTCCCAATTTAAAGCACCCATCCAGGAATCATCACTGTGAATTTCACGGTGCTAGCACATTTACCAAGTTCACCAGAGCCTGACTAAGAAACATATGTAGATTATTCTGATAAATGGCTTTAACTTGGGAACTAGTGAACCTAGATACGTGAAAGTTTGTGGTTATTCAAATGGCTTTATTCTTAGCCTACTGTGAAAATTTTATTAGTATACCTGAACAAACAAAAAAGTTCCCTTCCATGGTAGCCTCCGCCCTTTATGATATGATCTCCCTAAGCAGCAAAATGCCTTCTACTGCTACTAACTCTTTAACTGACAATTTAATTACAAAACACAAATAAAAATTTCCTTTTTCTTTTGAGGCAATCAACTTTTTTATCTAATTCTGATTCTGAAAACACATTATGTCATTGATTTCTGTTTAGAATCAACACAGCAGTTAGAAAAGACAAAAACTGCTGTTGAGGGCACCTTTTCCTTTATGCATGCCATGTAATGTCTCAAAACGTACTGAAAATTGAAGTACTTATTTTATGCAATACAAGGTACTACACTGAACATTTCACAGATGTTTCTTCTTTTTAACAAAACTGCTCGTGATCAATAGTTACATTTTGAATGGTAGATATTGAAGAACGATATCACACAAAGACTCATCATCTGAAACAATATCCAGGGTACTGAATTGCTGTTGGGCGCAAATTACTTGTCATCCCGTTGCTTCTTGTAGTGCTCCACGAAGCACCTTTTTTTCTGGAATTCTTCTTGCAAAGCGGCATTATGAAATGACAGTTGCCAAGCTTGAAACATGCATCAAAGGCATGGAATTCAGTTTTTTCATAGACACCAACTGTCTACTACGGTTTCAAATTGCAAATAATGCAGTGGACTGAACGAGTGTAACTCGCAGTTGGCGACATTGGTACAAACTCGTGTGACGAGTACAGCTCAGGGTTGGCAGTTAAAGGGTGTGGGAATTGAGGCTAGCCCGCCACCACTGCACGGGCTTTGCTGCCTATTTCTGCCGTTCTCATGTCCTGACATGAATCTCCCCTCCTCCGCGGTCCGAAGAGCGGTGCGGTGTCCTAGTGTGTGGTCTTACTACGCCGACCCATACCTCGCGGAAGCCAACACGAGCGGAGTTTTTTTACTTTCACTCGAGCGACCGGGCCCTTTTTTCCTGGTGTCCCCGTGAATCGCTTTTACCCACGGAGATGTGCTCGCAGCACCCTGTGTAGTACTTCTCGCCTGTGGCGTGGATAAGCCCATTTGCTTTCCTACTGCCCCTTTTGATACGGGCTCTGTTGCCGCAGACAATAAAGGGTTGCGACCTCCAGCATTACCGTGTTCTCATCGCGGTGACGGTTAACGCGTGCCCTGCAGCTCACTAAGACCGGACCCACACTAGTGGCCGTACTTCTTCGGGATACGTGTTCAGTACAAAGGTTAAAACACCCAGAGAATTAAAATAGAAAAGGATATCACTTCATCTAATATATACAGCATGTGGACTGACTTTCGAAGCAATATAGAACACAGCACACATAATTATAATCACACTGTGAACCAACATCACATATGCCTGCGTTGCGACAACTTGAAAAGGCATGGGCATTGGTATACTAGATGTGTTTTTTTTTTTTTTTTTTTCAAAAATATCAAAGTTTTAAAACATGAAAAAAAAAGTTAACTAAGTGATTTTTTAGGAGCCAATTTAGATAACAGCAATAGCTGACATAAAAAAAAAGATAACGAATTTCTATTTTCTAGGTAGTTAGAAAAATATGCTAATTAAGTTAGTAAAAGAGTAACATGAGTAGTAAAACTTATTTGAACATGTTGAACTATGTTTATGCAATGTAGTATGCTGTGTAATATTACCTCGCCATTGCTATGATACCTTCAAATAGAGCCATGTTTACAGTGTGAACAGGAACAAGATACTTCATTATGTAAATTTTTCAAATGTAGTCTGTAAAGTATTTACCTTGGTCCAACAAAAGCAACATTTTAACTTACCACTGTACCACATAATAAACATCATTTTTTTGGTAATCTTGTGCTCTCTAAAGTAGTTCATCAGAAAAGACAACGGGTATATGTTTGCCGCTCGTCCAATCAGACATAGAACCTGAAAGTATTAGAAAAAATAGAAGGAAAAGAAAATTTATTGCTTTAAATATGACTCATAGAAACTTTAAGGCACAGATATTGAAATGTAACATTGGCTTTATAATAAACACTTTATAGCTAATAATCATTAAGAGAGACAAAAGAACACTACAAACAATAATAATTAAGAGTCTCACCTTTATTAATCTTATATTCATACACAGATGAGAGCTAAATAAATTTTTCGAGCTCACAAGAAGGTAACACAAAAGGTCCAAATTTTTATGACTATTTCATTCCCATACATATGACCAGAAGCACGCGGTGCCACCTGCATGACCAGAAGAGTGCAGAGGATCTGATATAGAACGCTGTACAATGGATATGGCTGCGTGTGTGGAGACAGAATGGCGCTCACATTGCAAAGTCTGATGATTAAGGAGTAGAGATGCATTTTCCAATTTCTGACATTGGATGGTGTAAAACGGGCCACCACAAATTCTGCAATTTTCATGTTTCAAGTTTTACTCAACAACGATGTCAGTTTACAGAAAAGTGCGTACAGGATTGGTAATACACACAAGGGGCCCCAAAGTTAGAAAATGTCAGGGGGGCTCTTTGTGTGTCAGGGTGTCTGGTTATTTGGAAAAAAAAAAACTAACATCTAAAATGAAAATCCAAAAAAACATTAGTAAGGGGAAGATGAAAGCAAGAAATGAAAAATCCGTAAACCGGGGTTGTGCCGAGCTGACGTTTCGACAAGCGGACTTGTCTTCCTCAAGGCTAGAACAAAACTGTTCTGAAATTGAAGCGCTTCAACTCGGATGGCCAACTCAAAGATGCTGTGAACAACCTGGTCTCATCACGGCCACGGGAATCATGGAAACAAGAAGTCCTTAGGTTCAATCATCACTGGGATGGTTATAATCCTATTAATTAATTTAGTTATTGATTTCTTTATAGTACCTACAACACTTGCATGGGGCATTAGTGTAGGGAGAGATAACACAATTTAAAATATATATACAAAAATGCAATACATTTCAGAAAAATAAAGAAAAAAAGGTCACAAGCCATTAACACTGAGTTGTACATAATAGAAATATAGCTACATAATAAGGAATGCAAGGGCAACATGTATTTAACATTGACATGTGTGAAAATACAACAGCAAAATATGAGTAAATATAACACACACATGCATGCGTGCACACACATAGGTATATATACAGGCAGAGATTGCAAAAAAAAAAAAGAAAACTCAAGCTTATACAGTTAAAAGGAACTAATGAAAGTATAATCAAGCTACAAAATATGACTTTCAGGAGCAATGTCCAATGTTTCCCTGGATGCGGCTACAATTTCTTGAGTTAGTTCGTTACACTGCTGAATTGATCGCAGAAAAAATGAAAAATAGAATGTTTAAAAAGGTTCATTCTGGCAGCGAAGTCCCGCACATATAGTGGGTGGTCAGTACAAGCAAATATATATGTAGGCATCAATATGTAGTTTTCATCGTTAATACCCGTTAGACCATAGAATATTTTGAGTGTAAAAATTCACATGTCTTCAAGAGTATTCCCGATTTCAAAAGATCTCAAAAGTATTCCTGATTTCAAAAGATCTTTTATAAAAGTCATAACTGCCTGTGACAAAATGGGTCACTCACAGCTGCACATGCTCTAGAGCATCGATGTTCACTATAGTAAAGGGTCCCAAGTGCTACACATGTACTCGAAAAATGGGCGTACCTTCGAGATATAGAGGGTTTCTTTCAGGCTGGCTGGTGCTTGTTTAAAGTCGCGTCTCAAAGCATATTTTTATTTATTTATTTATTTACAATTCTGCTACTCTCTTTCCAGAGCGTGGCAGTCGGACAGTACAATGCTTTTTCACACATAAAAAATAACCAATAGAAACATAGTTCAAAGCAAACACTTACAAGCATAACAAAAAAACACGAATATCGTCAATAGAATCAAAGAATACAGGAGTTAAATAATACTAATACTTGATATATAAAAAATGATCACAGAATATAAAGCAAGTTCTAAATAATATGCAATGCTGACATCAAACTGAATGCAAAAAAGGAAAAGATATGATGCTCTTATAAATACTGTATGAATGTAATTATGATAACTTTAGTATCGGCACTGAAAACATATTAAAAAAAAAAACTTGAATTGTACACTGAGAGCTTGTTTGAAAATGTCTATATTATCCTTAAGTGCAGATGCGAGCAGAGAAAAAAGAACCGAACCTGTATCGCTTTATCACTACCATAGATGGATCTGAATTGGTGGCCCTTCATACATAGCTTAGCGAAAAATATAGAGTGCATACTTCATTAGTACCCCCACTGTCATTTTGTACCTTTTCATTTGAACACCCTTTGTAGGTGCATAAATTCTGCCTAAATATCTTTAGGAGACAAGCCTGAAAATTACTACATAGAGTACATAAAACAGCATTTGATAAATTAGCTTTAATGAGTCCGTCATCCAGCCCCTCAACAAACAAGTGTAGCACATAGATTAGTAGGAGCAAATTATGTCTGCCAAATATGATATGCCTGTGTAGCATGATAATGGTCAAAAAAGGTTGAACATCTTTCACACAAGCTGCTAGGTGCTATAGTTATAAAAAAAAAGAAACATAATGTTGCAGTTTAAATGCCCACAAAAAGCGCAAGAAGACGTGCTGAATTTTCAATACTAATTTCATTTTGGCATGCTATGACCCATATCTAAAGCAAAGACAAGAGCGTTAGCTAGGAATTATTGAATTAAATAGTGCCCAACATACAGAAGCTACTTCCCAGTGTGTAGCTCCAAATGATATGCTGACGGTCCTCGCCTTCCCTGCACTGCCAATTTATAGTGAGGCACTGAGGCACAGCACATGCACTCACTGATAACATAATTTAAAATAATACATCATATGAGTGCCATTGCTCTGTCCCAGTAACACTTTTTTCTGAAGGCACTGACACATATGGTTTTGGTAGCACAAAATGTTGCTAAAGCAAAAGTATCCCTAAATGTCACTGTATCAGAATACTGCTCCTGACCAGCAAATATATATTTCATTATTGTGCTTACGATAGGTGTACAAGAAGTAAAACAATATTAATAAATATTCTATGTATTATAAAGTTTCATAGAAATTCAGATAAATTCAATATACAACCATGTGACAATTAAAACAGAAATATGGTTCCTAGATACATGCACTATATTTCATAAGAAAATTTATATATTGATGCAATTATTGAGATTTTGAATTATGTCATCAATTCCTGGCAGCGTGAGATCAGTCACAGATACATAAAACTGAAAAATTGACGATGGTTCACAAGAGTAAGAAGCTCAAGTTGGATATTAAAGAGACCAACAACCATTTTTATGGTGCCAATTTTTCTTAGCGTGAAGAAAAGCTTGCCTATTAATGAGTCTGCTTCCGTATTGGTAAAGTGCAAAATGCTGCAAAGCATTTGTAATCAGAGTTTTTCTATCTGCAGTGAATATGAAGTCATATGCTCACATGCTACAAACAGTGAGCGCATGGGGGGTTTGTGTTCGAGCGCGGTGGTTTACTGTGCATGCGTGCATTCCCCGCGCATGTGCCATGGCTCGACTTGGTCTACTGGCATCCGAGACGGCAGCACCTCGTTTCACTGTCCTGCTTCTTAACGTCGTAAGCAGCACAGAATTGAGCGCAGCTAGATAGTACCTAACATACACATTTTAGTTTTGAGGACTGGCACGCTCGACGGCATCAGACTACTATTTTCAGCTAGGTGATCGACTCCATATGCTATAATCCAGCTTCAAGGCTTTTCCGCTAGGGGGAAAAACAAGACGGTTTTTGATAATTTTTAAGCATGATTTAAAAATATCAATCCTAGTCACAACGCGAAAAAAATGCTGGAGTATGTCATTATACTTCATGTTCTTTTCATTTCTACTACGATTTAATCACACATTCTGGCCAGTTGGCAGTCCCTTTAAGCATTGGACTGTGAATTTGTTTATTATTACCAGTTTTATGAGTATGCATTATTACACCACGTATTAATATTAATGCTGTAGCTCATGCTACCACCATACTTGAGAAGTTAGAGCTATAGTCACAGTTATTACATGCCTGCAATCAATTAACCAGTTTCTTAGGGCAAACCATGTTAAAATATTAGGTTTAATAATGAATGTTATTATGTTAGAGTTTGCTTCAATTCGAATTTAAATTATTGAATATTTTGCAGTATTTGAAATGAACGAATAGGTGTATATTGTTACGCATGCAAATCCTCTTGAAACGGTGGTTTCACTGCAGTACAACAATGCTATACCAAAAATATACCTTTTTAAAAAAAAATGTGTTGTGCCGTGAAGCCCCATTTCACCATTAAACAAATATATTACTAGAAGTGTGCAAATACAAAAAATTTCGAATATTTTTCTAATAAGACTTGCTATTTAACTCAATTCGCACAAAAATTTTTATTATTCAAACTTCCTGAAGAGTGAAGACAAATATAGTCACCGTCTGATGAAATATGACCTCTTCAAATCTTTAATGTGCTGCACCTCAATTCAGTCTCGTACTGCAGCAAAGATACCTTTCATGCTCCATTAAGGTCAAATTTTTTAAAAACGAATACATTATACGTTCGATGAAAAATTACCTTTCCTAACTTTATTAAATGCTTTACATCATCACACTCCCATATTGCAGCAAAGCTGCCTGTCATGCTCTGCTTCGGTTGCAAATGTATTGACTCAAGAAAACGCTGGTTCAAACAAGGAGATAATAGATGTGGTAGAGGGGGGGGCTCAATGCTGTTTTTGACCTGAAATTCAGGCAGAAAGTTCGAAAAACCAGATGCAGAAGATTTTTAGCATCCAAAACTTTAAATCTTCATGTATCTTGACATCGATGAGGCAGATTTGCAACTGCTAACTCAAAGGAAGGACAAACTTGTCTGCCACATTATTTTGATTTCCAAAGAAGCACCTTGGTTGTATCAAATCTAGTACTAAAACAATTCGATCTCTGTATCACCTTAACCCCCCCCCCCCCCCTTTTATGATGAAACTACAATACTGCCCAGACAGCTCTTCATCAACTTAGCAAAAATACACTTTTATGTTGCTTTATGCTATATGAATATGCTTAAGAATCCTCTCCAACTTTTTTTCGAGCACTTCAATTTTGCTTCAATTTGCCCTCACATTTCAATATTAGAATTTTATTTGCACCTAAAATTTTGATATTTTCACAACTCTACATAATACCCTCACATTGATTACAGCTTTCATAAGTTTAAAAGCTTGTTAAACTGCCCCTTATGCTCTAAGTAAAGTAAATTTTAAAATGTAACAGACTATTTTACAGGTTATCACTTGCATTTTAACATAAATCAAATCCTGCTACTATTCAAGGTTGCTTCCACTTGCCTTAAAAAAAAAGATATTAGTACATGCCTTGTTTCAATTAAAAAATATTGTGCAGGTTAGCGTGGTGACAACAAATATGCTAATTTTTCTTTATATTATGTGATAGTATATATTATTTGAATTCAGTAAAAAATTCTTCTAACCAAACCACTATTCACTATGAACCGAAAATTTGCTATTCCCACAAGCCTATAAAATAGCAAAAGCGAACAGTTGTGTCTTTGTTTCTCACAAACACATTAGGAGACACAAGTCTGGTAAAGCCATACCATATCACAATTATTATAAATGGGAAATTGTTATGAATTCCGGCTATACAGCACCAAGCACCTGGATTCTCTACATTGACACACTACTTTTAATAACCAAGTAAAGCTAACAGAACACAGCATAATTTATAGTTCCATACAGAGGCCTCTTTACTTATTAGAAGTGCTCAAAAACTACAGGAGACCTTGCATATGTTTAACGCAAAGCACTCATTGTTTTACAAACATGCTAACATAGTTCTCTGCATAAATGAGTTACACAGTGACTTTTTCAAATGCATGACCAAAGCCTCCTAGAAAATTGCAAGAAGTGAGACGGGTAGAATAAATACAATGAGGGCAGGTTTTAACTATGAACAATTTGTTGGAGACAGTCCAATATCTCAACTGTTTATATGAGAGAAAGTCTAAGTAGTCTATGTAAGGAAGAAAGCTCACAAGAAAGCCAGTAAAGTGGCTGAAAGGGCTAGTTGGCAATTTATATCAACGACCAAAAGAGTGAAAAACAAGAAATACAGAGATAAAAAGCGTACACATGGGACAATGCCTGAATTTAACTGCTCATTGATTGATAGAAATATAATATAAAAGTATAAATATATAGGTGTGTAAACATTTACACAATGCATTCACTGAAGTGGAACCATAAAAACAGAACCAAAAGATTACCAATTACAGTGGCCAATTTTCAAATATACCACAATGATTATTGTTATTCAAAATCGACAAACTTGCATGATCACGAAAGCAGCTCAGGCTAAGAAACAAGGTGGGTGTGTCGGCAAATTGTTAATTTCTCTAACTGAGAAATCAGTTGCTTGGAAAGGGCTGGCAAGCCAAGGGCACTGTGATTGTTAACCTTCAAGAACTTGTTTTGTTTTAATGCATCCCTTTCAGTGAAAGTGTCTTGTCTCTATCACTGTACATGCATCACTGCAATCTTGTCAGTGAATCACCTGATGGAAGTCAGTGCTGGTCGTGAGGGTGCGTGCGCACTTTTTGTCCCTGTTCAGTTTTCAGTGTTGTTAATTTTCGGGAAGAGCACCAGCATGCCTATGCTAATGGGCTAAAAGGAACATAAATTTTTGAAAAACCATTTCTGAAAAGCTACTGCCACTGATTGTTGGAGCTATCTTGTGCTCCCAATTAGCATGCCTATGCAACTGCCTCAAAAAAAAAAAAAAAGCTATGCCTCCAAAATACAGTTGTTAGATGGCACCTAGTTTTTTCCATACGTGTCTCCGTGCCTCTCCCACCTACTCCTCTTTCTTATTATTGCAAACAGAATGTACCAGACCACCTCTCAAAACTAGGCTTGTGCGAGTAGTGAATTTTAGGTTCGAAGCAAACTCGAAGCGAATAGTAATTTTGGTCGAATAATTTCAAATCGAATTCGAATAGCGTATATTACATATAAAGAAAAATGAGCATATTTATCATGACCTAACTAACCTGCACAACATTTTTTAAAAATCAAAATAGGACCTCTATGCAAATGCCATTTTTTTTGTTCAAAGGAAGTCAAAAGAACTTTGAATAGTAGCAGAATTCGACTTTCAGCAGGATGCGAGTCATAACCATTAAAATACTTAATATTTTAAAATTTATTATACTTAGAGCATATAAGCCCTCATAACTAGCTTTTAAGCTTAATAAAATTAATTGATTTGAGAGTAATATTTTCATTTAGAGGGGCCATACAAAAATTTTTCATGTAGCCATGGAATGGTTTTACTAAAGAAGCTAATTCATTGCCTCATGGATTCAGCACTGCAAATATTTTTAGAATCCGTCTAGTACACGTGGAGTTGCAAAGATTTCTCGCACGCTGCAAGTGTATTGTCTCTTCTCATCCCGACGAAAGTGCTGGGCGCTAAGCAGGGAGGGATGGCACGGGGAAAGAAAACACGCTACACACGCTTTCCGAGTTTGTGAACTCATTTGCCGAGAAAAGAGAGCCATTTTTAGCTGACTTTTGAGAATTTATAGTGAATCGCACACCGCATGCTGCGCTATAATATTTGGCTTGCGTGTCCTGAGTAGCCTACCGATTGGCAGCATATTTTGACAATGCTCAAAAAGTGTTGCAGGGCCCCTTTAAATTTGAAGAAAGGCTTCGCAGCAAAGCAGATTTCTCTTGGCCAAATTCTTTCACAATTGAGCACTCATACACTGCAATAAAACCACTTTTACAGGCGGTACATTCGGATTAGTATGCATTTATTCGTTCCTTGCGAATACTTCGAAATTTTCAATAATTTAAATTCGAATCGAAGCGAATTCGAATATCCTACTATATTCGTTTGAATATTTGAAGCATTCTAATATTCACCCAAGCCTACTCAAAAGGCTTTACTGAGCCCTTCTCGTGTCTTTTTATGATATATTTGTTACTGTTGTCCAAGCAGTAAAAATTAAAATTGAATGACCAAAAGTACTGTACAAAACTCCTGAAAGAAAATTCTCTCGCAAGTTATGAATAAATCGTTCTCTGCAAAGGACTGCTTCTTTTCACATTTACAAGAACAGTGTGCATTTGGTTCAGAAAGCTTGATGAAACTGGACTTGCAATAGTTTGAAAATGTATAGTCTATTTTTATTCTATATTGAATGATCAGAAAATTACATTTACAGCTACTGTTTCCAAGCTGTAAAAAGAATTCATGAAGTCTCCCAGCCATTCGGCTACACTAATGTGCATTGCTGCAATTTTCTCTCAAGGCAAAGACAAGTTAACTTCGAAAGAGAGGAAGAAGGAAAAAAACAGGACGAAGTAGTGGCTCAGAAAGCAAGCACCTTAGGTGTGTGAACATGTATAGCATTTTCACCTCTAAAACCATGCAACCCGAAGCAATTACGTACATGTAATTACTGTGTAGTAATTACAAGTATACAAACTTCTGTAATCATACAGTACTAATGGCAAGAAGCTACATATTTACTGCTTCAGACAGGCCAGTGCTGTCATTCTGCTTTCCTGTATGCTTTCTGACTTATTAAATTCACATCGCGTAGTTCAAAGCATCAGAAGTTTAGAAAAAAATTCTAATTACTTCCTATGTCTTTTCATCCTGTATGCTTGGTAAATCCAACAAAAATTGTATATGGTGACAATGTTTAAACTAGAACAGAGAACCAACTAATGGCTATTAATAATATTGAGCATGAGATTTAGCTAGTTACTTTATCCTCAGGCAATAAGTGTGCAGGCATAAAAAAGTTAGCAAAAACAATGCTCACAATGCTCCATATTATAAGAGAAGGCTTGATGATAAGTCGGTAGCTGAATATGGCCAGACCCAGGTAGGCAAACACTGAAGTCTCTGTAAAGTTTGTTTTTTATTAAGAAAAACAAACACATACACCAACATAAAGTTCATAAAGAATGCAAATAAAAGGAGACATCTCAGCAGAAAATGTAGATAATAAAAAAAAATGTGCACCATCACAGAAGCAGGAACTTAGTTACATATGTTATAGGGTATAAAGCATAAAAAATTCAGCACAATAAAATAATATTTTGTTCACAAGGAACACATTTTACACTTGAAATGGTAAATTTTCACTAAAGTATATCAGTATACATTTATAAGTCATTTAACAAGTTACAGTGAACACATTTTGGTTTCAGTGAACCCAAAGCTTTCACAAAAAGCAAGCATTTATAGCCGATGATCCTCCGATGAAGGGTAACCCACAAGTTGCAATGCTAGTAAATTTTTTTCTGGTTCTTCAATGCAAATTTTTCATTATCAATTATTTTTGCTTGTGTTTATGTGTACATGCATGTATGTACGAATTTATACCTTGACACTGCTAATGTTGTTTAGAAAAGACTAATTAACAAAACCTTGTGAATGAACTATTTCATTACCAACTGAAGGGCAGTTGTTTACACGGATAAATATAGGGCATCCCAATTTATGGTATAACTATTTCCTAGAAATAAAAAAGCAGCACCCATAAAACAATTAAAAACACATATAAAGCATTTTATATAATATTCTGTAGTCAACTGGACTGGAAAGCTTAAAACAAGTAAATATTGCTCAAGCAATACACAAAATTATATTGAAACATTATGCCAACAGTCTTTTTTATTTCACCTTTACTGCACAGCACACTAGTCAGCATGTCCAGTGCCTACTGCCGAAACTACACTCTAATAGAATACATTTGCATTTTAAGTACCCTGCATACAAATTGCATTGCAAATTACATTACTTCTCTTAGGAAGGAGCATCAGTAATGAGACAGCAGCAATGGAAGGTTCCCCCACCCAATCCCCAATGCGACTGTCCATTTGAGGAAAGAAGAGGGCCAAGTCCTTCCCTACTTGGCAGCTGCATTTTATTTTAGGTATAATATATAGACCTTCAATGAACTTTGTGCATACAAACTTCTGAATTTTGAACACAACAATAACGTAATTATTTTGTGTGCTTCACTGAGTGAAGTTAGTCGAACCTAATGCTGCCTACCAATGCTGCTCCCTTCCCATTACTCCTCTTCATTACCTTCCCCCATCCAACAAGTGGGAAACCTACACCTATACCAGACCAACTTCTTGACACACCCAATTCATGCTCCTGAACAGAAATGTATTCATGAATGTATTCAGGAACGCAAGCACTGCAAAACTCTGAGCATGCGGCACTACATTGTACGAAAATGTGACAGTATCAATGTGCAGTTCATCAAGATACTTATCATGCAGTAAGAGGACTGTCTTGCTAGCCCAAATCACAAGGAAATGGCAAGCCCGATGGAAAGGGCAGTGACAGGAGATTACGCAGAAATTGCATGAAACCTATTGTATTTCTCTTTGAATTTCAGAGTTCAAAACATCCCCTCGCAATAAATATCTTTCTTACTTTTTCAAACAAGAAATCTTCTGAAGTGGCATGTCTCACTGCAGTGAAATTATTTGGCCCTTATCTTATTAAGTAAACTAATGCTTCGATGTCATATGCATCTAATGTGATTCTTCACTTGAAACAGAATCATCAATTTCTGCTTATTGCTTAAAAGGGAAACAAAAGTGTCACTCGTTGTTGGTGCTGATAATAATCATAATAATGATAATAATTAAAGAATGAGCGTCATGAGAGAAGTTGGCATGGACATACATGAAAAAATTGAGCAGAGTTAAGAGGAATGCTCACCAGCAATAAGTGAAATAGTCCGTAGTGTTTGTTGCATGGTAATCTGAGTCACTGAAGACAAATTGAAGTGGGTGTAATGAGACATGACGACCCCATTGAAGAGTATAGCCATGATCCCTTCGTTAGGAAGAGAAACAAGAGAAAGCATGTGAAGGTTAATAGCAGCAAACACACTGACACAACAAAAGAATGCACTGTGTGGTCACACCCTAAAACATACAGACCTAAATAAACAGTGAAGAACTGACATACGGGAAAGAAAGAAAAAAAATCAATGACTCTGATGTAATATTGAATATTAGTGTGTCACATAAGGTGATGACATAGATGCAATAATCGGTGAAGTTGTTTCTTGATTAAATATAGCTATATCTAAAATCAAATGAGTTTGCCACCTCATTCTAATAGCAAATTTTTGCTCAATAAACACCAGACTACTGAATAAAAAAATTATATTTCCACTTTAGGTTAGCATTGTGCTAAGTAATGCTGCACTACAGTATAGCTAACACTGAAAAAAAGTAATGCAAACTGCACTCAAGAAAATGGGTCCTGAATAAGTGAGAAATGAGGGATGACAGCTTGTTAGTTTTATAAAGCCACTGTTCAAAAAATAAAATTAATTATGCCTCTCATTTATTTGGATAAAAGAAGCAGCCCAAGTCAGTACAAAATTAGAAACCCATGTTACCTAACCCATTTTTTATAGGGGCAAAGCTCAACAAAAATACACATTTTATGAGCTCACTCTATTAGCACTACAAAAAAAAGGAAGTGCTCTAAAGCTCAGCAAGACTACCCAAAAATCCAGAAGTGCTACCTAAGTTAAGTTTATTTTTGCTCATATGTGAAAGTGAACACTGAAAAACACTGAGGGCAATCAAGTTTATCACTATAGTTAGTTCCAACGACAATGAGCTCTGATGGACCCGTAGTATTTGCGCAATGCTACGTAAGTGTGCTATGGAAGCAGGTCTTATTTGTGAGGAAATAATGCCGGTTTAATAACACTGTGTAGATCCCCAATAACCACATCCACCCATTGAGTGGTGTTATGCCTTTGCACGTAACTGTTTATGCCTTACCTGATAGGTGTATGCCTTCCGCAAGTCCATAAGGAGCATAGACAAATACTAACATCATTCCAAACTCAAGCGAGGGATTTTTCCTGAGGTCTATATACTTGAGCAGGTGCACATCAAAAAAAACATTCAGTCAAGGAGATACACATGCCTTTTATGCCAGTCACTCACATCACCCTTACCTTCCCGTTGACGAACAGTCATAATGAGATTTTGCACCAAAATAAATACTTTCGTTTTTTGATGCTGACTTGTCCACGTTGAGTCATATGTGTCTTGGCTTTCTATGTGTAGCCATCTTTCATAGTATTGCCATGCAATGAAGCCATCTTTCAGCAATCTTTTTTTTTAAACAAAATTAGTGAAATAAAGAAACTTCACTGAACTGAAATAATAATGCCAATTTAAGAGAAGAAAAAAAACTCCACAAAATGAGTGAAAAAAATTTCCATTAACCTCGGTACAGTTTTCTTTTTTTTTTTCACAGTATAAAAAAAGAGTTAAATAAGGAAGTGCATGTCAGAAGCACTTCTACGTAAAAAAAGCAGTTCCTCACTTCGGTGAAGGATCACTTGAACATAGAAGTGCTTCTGTTAGTACTAGCAAAACAGAGTGGTGTTATTTAAAGAACACGGTTAAGTATGGAGACATCTGGTCTGTCATGTCAGTTTGGTCATGTCAGCGCAAGCACAACTGGCTGTACGTATGCCTCAAATGACGTATGAAAGCATTTGGTCTTGCTCAGCTGCTAATGCATCATAATGAGATTGGTGAGTGCAACTCTCCAGAGTGCTGTTTATTGTCATCTTGCCCTCCATTCACAAAATTAATTTCAGAGTGAGTGCCGCTTTCTGTTTCAAGCGCATTGTAAATGCTCTTGGCATCCTTCCAAACACGAGGACTAATAAATGGTGTGTGAATGCAGCATTTTAGCGACTCGGTTGTAAACAAAAACAAGGCTCTAGGCCACACACTTGTGCGCTGTTGGTAGGTGTACAACTACGACGCTGTACTTTATCGATCATGCGAGGAGCCTTAGTTGTGTTTATCTGGCCATAGTACCACTACATAGAAATATTATTATCACATAAACCTGTGAGACTTTGGTATGTAAACTGTACTTAAAACAGAGTTACCGTGCGCAACTGTGTGCTTAGATTTTAAAGAGCCCAGACGTTCAAAATTAGTTCAGACCACATGCCTTACATATAATATTGTATAATTGTCTTCCGCATTTGTGTGGCATTGTTAGTGACCGACGGAAGGCAGCGGCCATTTGTTGCCTGAAAGAAAAAAAACATACCTCTCCCATTAACCAGACATTTACTGTGGCACTATTATGCACGTAATCCATTGATGAAAGCTTTCTGCTGAACTAAATCACACTAAATCATGCCTTTGATGTGTTTGTACGTGGTTAGCTTGTGTTCCATCTGCTACGCAATGATGTAGCGTGACTTAACTAGAACTTATTTACTTCTTTCTCATCTGCATACACAAAAAAAAAAGAGAGAGAGAGAGAGAGAGAAAGGTCGTAGAAAGCCCGCATATCGGTGTGATTACTTGAGGTTTTTATATTTTTACTGGTGCAAGAGCATGTGTGTCTTCGTGATAAATGCAGTGTAGCGCAAAGTGCTGTCAGCCACTAAGCTATCTTGACTAGACTTATCAACTGTTCCTCATTTCATGGTGAACAGAATGAGAAAAAAATGCATTTGCCTATAAGGCGTGAACGGTGGTAGTCAACTAATCACATAGATATGCGAGCTTTCTACAACCTTTCATTCTCTCCTTTTTTGTTTTATGCAGATGAGAAAGAAGTAAATAAGTAGTTCAGTCACACTACGGCATTGCGTAGCAGACGGAACACAAGCTAACTACGTACAAACAATACAGCAAAGGCATGTAGTGCAAAAGCGCAGAGACAGTCACCCAGGGCGAGCATTCCTTTGAAAGGCCGAATGTGCTTTACACGAAGGTAATGATAACGTTGCATAAGCTTCGTGCATCCATTCAGCAGAGAGGAGCGTAGATATTGCCACTTAACTTTGGTCAACACTTTTTATTGACCGAATATCGCCTCAGACCGCTCGCAATGACGCTCTGCTTCAAGTATTTGTATACGCACCGTCGACCGCTTATCCCCACTTGCGAGAGGACGGTGCTGCCACCTGTAGCACGATTTCACCGCAAATACAGACAGGTAAATAAGGATCAAGGAACTTGGTTATATATTTTAACTGGCTGCCACATGTCACTTGACAACATGAACCAGCCCTGCCGTGACTCGAAAGTGATAGTTGCCTTAGATGATGCTGCCAGAAAATCGCCTTTTTTAAGCTACTGTGTTTATAGTAACGAGACCTAACAGACAATCATGCCAAGGGAGGTATAGGGGATGTTATTAGAAATAATTGTAATGGAAAAGTGAAAAAAAAAAAAAGTGGACGGAAAGACAGCTTGCTGTAGGCAGGCAATGAACCTGCAACTTGCGAATAACGTGTTTAATGCTCTACCAACTGAGCTACCCCCGCAGCTATCCCCCGTCCACTTTGTGGGGTATATATGTGCATTAAACATGGAAGCGTCAGTCAGCACCGCCAGTAGCCATGACACCGAGTGTGGAACACTCTTTAACTGACTGTTTGGCATTACGCGGCACATGAACTTATTATGGCAGCTGACTGATAATCCCTCGTATACTATTTGAAGGCATTAAGTCTGCCAAAAGGAGACCCTCACTATGATTGAAGGAAAGAAGTGCATGACTCTTAAAGCTTGTTTTCTTTGTTAGACACAATATTAACGAAACCTAACAGACAATTACTTCTATAAACAGACCATTACTTATAATAATATCCCCTATACTTTCCTTGGCTTGATTGTCTATTAGGTCTTAATGATAGAAAACGAGCCTTTAGAAATGTGCACTTCTTTACTTCATTCATAGTGAGGGTCTTGCTCTGGCAGACTTAATGCCTTCAGGTAGTCTACGAGGAATTATTGGTCAACTGCCAGCTCGTACTAAGTTCACGTGCTAAGTGACACCAAACATTCAATTAAAAAATGATCCACACTCACTGTCATGGCTAATGGCGGTAGTGATTGACACTTTTACATTTAATGCACATGTATATACCCCATAAAATGGACGGGGGGATAGCCGTTGTGGTAGCTCAGTTGGTAGAGCATCAGACCCGTTATTCGAAGATCGCGAGTTCGGTCCCTGCCCACAGCAGGTTATCTTTCCGTTCATTTTTCTTTCTTCACCTTTACCTTGCCATTATTTCTAATAACGTCCCCTATGCTGTTCTTGACATAATTGTTTGTTAGGTCTCAATAGTATTGTGTCTAACTAAGAAAACGAGCCCTCAGAAATGTGCACTTCTTTCCTTCATGTTTAATGAAAGTTATGTATTCATGCATTGTCTATACCACATGGACGTCTGAAATAAACGCACGCTACTATTCTTTATGAAAGTGAGGAAACTTCACATACAAGAACTAATCAAATAAAAAATAACTCTCTTATTATGTAAACAAGCTCACCATTTTGTAAAGCATAGTTCTCACAAGACATTGACAAATTATTGACCCCAGATTATGCTACAGCACACAAATACTTTTATATTGAACAGCACTGTTTCCTTTCATTTTTCTTTTGCATACATCTCGTAACGAATGGTGAAATCGGGTACAAGTTTTAGAAGGTTCGTTGTATGTACAGTGCAGACCACTTATAACGTAACAGCTTTTTGCGCGGGACTGGTTATAACGTGGGTTTTTTTTTACCACCGATATGTCGCCCATAGAACTCAATGTATAAGCTGACCGTTTATTGCGTAGGCGCACGAAGGAGAATACCGGTTATAGCGCGGAGTTTTTAGGCACGCGACTATAAAATCGGCGAACGGAGCACGGTCGGCACGGTTTCCAGGCGGCGTTCCCGGCGCGCCGGAACATTGTGAGTGTGAGCGGGAGGGCGCACGTCGAGACCACCGCGAAAAGTCAAACATTGCGGAGGAGAAGAGAGGGTACAGTAGGGAGGGAGTCGGGGAGACCTTAGAAGGAGGGAGCGTGTTTTCATCACCGTGGCGACCGTGGCAGCATCCAATCCGGGTGCGCGCTGTGCGGAGTTGGGGAGAGAAGCGGTAGCATGCTTTTTTTTTTCTCTCGACCTCCTTCTTTTGCCTCTTTGGATTTGCTGTGTGCGCTTCGCCGTGTCGTTGCCATCTGAGAGCCCAGAGCACGTGTTTTGCGTAGCTCCTGTCGCCATGGCGTTGGCGGCGTCTTCAAGCGGTGTGAAAAAACGCCGTGCCTTATCACTGGAGATTAAAGAATGCGTCATAAGGGACATTGAGAGTGGCCTGAAGAAGGCGTCGGTGGCGGCAAAAACTTTGTTTCCGTGCAGTGTTGTGATTGTGTTGAATGTGCCTGCGAGTGAAAAGTGTAGTAAATTGCTTTTGAAAAGTGGGTTGCCCTTTTGACATAGGCAAAGGCCGAAAAAAGCATGCTTTGGTTATAACGCGGTACCGCTTATAGCACAGATTTTTACAACTCCAGTGACTTACGTTATAAGCGGTCTACACTGTAAAACAATGCATGTAACGATATGTAGCAAACTTCTTTTTTTAGTATGTCTTATAGATGCTCATTGTACAGGAACCTCATACAACAACTAGAATGCCCTATTCTCGACCCTTTTGTGTTCTAACATGCTGAATGAAAAACAGGGGCTCAGGAAAGTTGACAAAAACAAGTTCAAATTACCAGAAGCCTATTTTAGGCCTGAAAATCTCTTTATTCAACATTACTTCCTTCTAAAACATGCTTTCTTTATGATACAAAGTAGTGCATTTAACTACTTGGTATATACCGAATTAAGAAAAACATTATCAAATATATTAATAATATTTATTTTTCATTAGCTCAGAAAGCAGAAAAAGTAACGAAGAGTGCCCAAAAAGCAAAAGGATATAAGAGCTGCTGCCAAGGCAAAGATCACTCCAATAGCAGCAGAGCAGAAGAAAACAAGAAAGAAACGCTGGATGCCATGTAAAACAAGTTGACCTGTCGTCAGTGAAACCATGCTTGGGCTTCCTGACTCCAATATGGTTCTGATGAAAGTAGAAAACAAGAAACACATTTTATTCGTATGTATCTTATGTTGCAGAAGAATTGACATCTGGGCCAGTTTGTTCATGCTATTTCAAGATATTATGCGACACACACTTACACTGTTACAAAAGCGAATATGAAATGAAGAAACAGAATGGCATTAATAAGAACACAAGCCATATTTTATAGTAGCACAGCACTGAGGAGCACTTACTGGTTGAAATCAGCACAAAAGAAGACAGTAAATGACTCACGTGGCAAGTACAATAGAGACAGCATCATTGAGGATGCTTTCGCCAAATACCAACATGTTGAGCACTGGGTCTATGTCCAAAGCATGAAAGATGGCCAAGGTTGCCACAGGATCCACAGCGGAAATAAGAGAGCCAAATGCGAAGCTTTCAGTGAAGTCCAGTTTGTAGGCTACGTCAGCCTGCAGCGCAAGGGTATGCAATGTGTAATTAACTAGACATCCGTAGCTACACATATCTATAACCATGTGTTCATGTGGATCACATATGTTTCACACAGCATTCCACCCAACAACCTCAGGTTGTGAGAGAGCTTGTGAAGCAAAGTCACTGGAAATTACAAAATAAAAGGCTGCAACTTCATCGTTTACAGTCCTGAACTTTATTTCATTAGTTTTCAAAATAAATTACCCCCATGATATTTATTGTTCCAAGATATTATTTAATATCGACCTGCCTTTTCGCAGTTTCTGATTTCAGTACATAGCACGGTCTAAGAGTGGATTTGATTTCTTAGAATTACGAATACAAGTGATACAGTGCATATGATAAATGCAGATACAGAAGGAGACTTCAAAGTCATGAAACTATAAGTGAGACCACCTATAAAACCACACCTCAGAGATATAACGTTATAGTAGACAGTGGTAAATATAGAAAAACTGTGTTATAAAATATGTGCAAATAAAACAAAAACAAGCATATATTAAAAAATATCATACCAGTTACTAGGTATATTATAAATCATTATGATTTAATAAATGTGATTGAAAGGCTCTGTGAACATTTCGAGGGATCCATTTCTGATCTCCGTAGGCAAAGAATTTCACAGGGGTAAAAATTTTTGGGTAAACTTGCCATAATTAGTCCTGGATCACTTGGTACTTCATGTTAAGTTAGCGGTGCAACAGGAAAAAGTGCAAAAACTTTTGCTCTGCAAACTTAATCAATACATATATATTAAACTGAATTAGAAATATAGACTGTTTAAGGATGCATAGGCCTTTGTTTGACAACAAGCATGACTAATACTGGTACCTCATAAATTTGAATAACCCGTAAAGGAAGTCCGAGTGTTGATGCAAGATGACAAAAAAGATAAGTTTTTTTAAGAAGAGACAAACTAAAGAGGGGACCATTTAAAATTTCATAAACACGGGGTGTCATTGGAGCCAACGTTCTGACAAGCAGACTGACCTTCTTTGAGGCTGAAAGACAAGTCAGCTTGTTGAAACTTTGGCTCTACTGACATCCCGGGTTTATAAATCTTTTTCCCCCTCTTCAATCTTTCCTTCTTTCTCTCAAACTCTGCCTTTTTTAGAAGGCAGTTATGTAACTTAGTGGTGCATGATAATATGACTTTTTTCAAAGTTCCATTTTCTAAATATGTTGCTCCATTGAGCAACATATTTAGAAACTGAAACATATTTAGGAACTCAAAAAATATTTTCAGTTTCTAATCGAGCTATTTTTAGTAACTCGCAAACATTAGGAGAAAAAATATCCAGGTAAATGTTTTATGGCTGCTGAGGATGTTAACCTCTTTCACGGCCAGAACAATTAGCTCCTTAGTGCCGGATGCCGCAACATACTAAAAAACTTCGAGCAAGTAAGTCACAAAATGCGTGCTACCTTTAATGCCGGCTGTCAAGTACTCACGGAGAATGTAGTATTCAGCAGGAAAAATCTAGCGCTGTCTCGTCTAAGGTAGTTCAAGCTAGCATGTAGTATTCAGCATGAAAAATCTAGTGCTGTTTCATCTTAGGTAGTTTAAGCTAGAGCCAATTGTTTTGGAGCTGATGGCACAGAGCGCGAAGCGCGTTCAACAGCTCTCAGTTCTTCGTTTTTTCTCGCCTTGGTACCATAGGTTCTATCTTCAATAATTTTGTTTATTTGGTGTGTACGCACTCAAGAGATTGCTCACAACATGTTACGTAGTTCTGAAGAACATCTTTTGTTGCACGGTCCTCACTTCTGTGGCGTATGGACAATTTGCAACGTACACAAAAGTATGCATTAAAGTTGCATATTAGATAATTTAACTACGGAATCATTTAAAGGTTGTTATTTAAAGCTGGAAAATGAAAACAATTTTCATTTTGCTAGGCAGTTTTATAATTAAGGCATCAAAGGGTTAATGTATGGCATGCCAACTGATGAATGGTTAACAATTTATGAACTATCCCAGATGACGTAGCAAGAGACAGTATGGCGAGTTATATGTCATGACAAAAGATAAAGTGCTACACATGCTAAGTAACAGTAGAGATAAGGAGAACAACTTACCAAGCCAAGCAAGTAAACACCACCCCCAATAACCAGTGCAGAGATGGTTGTGCCAACAATAGAAAATACTAGGATGGAGCCAATGTTTTGAAAAAAGTTACCCTGCAATAAATGAGTGAAATCACCAAAAGCATAACTACTATGCACCTCTTACCCTCCTCCAGCGTTTTATATGTAAGGTTATCCTTCATTTGACACAATTTTCATGGTGATGAACAATTGATTGATTGATTGATTTGTGAGGTTTAACGTCTCAAAACCATCTTATGATTATGAGAGACACCGTAGTGGAGGGCTCCGGAAATTTCGACCACCTGGGGTTCTTTATCGTGCACCCAAATCTGAGCACACGGGCCTACAACATTTCTGCCTCCATCGTAAATGCAGCCGATGCAGTCGGGATTCAATACCCCGACCTGCAGGTCAGCAGCTGAGTACCTTAGCCATTATACCACCGCGGCAGGGCACAGTGATGAACGAATGTGCATCATTACTTTCCCTCACACCAACTACCTGCACTTTAACAAAATTTTCACAGTGCCGAGATCTAAATGTGACATTATAACTTTCAGTATAACGACTGGTATGCACAAACTGTTCAAGCTAACTGCGTCATGTTGCTACAAATATGGCTGCAAAAGGTAATGATGACTCTAATGTAAGTGTTGTGATGTAAGTGGTACCTCTGATGTGAGACTTCCATGTAAATGTAACTAAAAATTACCATTATGGCAGGAGACAAAATGAAGATGGTGAAAACTAAAGTATGTGGATTATGTAGCCAGCGTTTCAACCCTCAAGCACTGCATATACAAATGCGAAAATTCCCATCATTAATTATACATGGCAACTGAGACCATAAGTATTCATGTTGAGGAACATGACACATAACTTGAGACAAAATCAAAATACAGCAATTCATTGTCTGAACACTAGGTCTATACATTAAAAATCTATAAAAGTGCACAATATTCTTGTTTCTTCCAGGATATTGTGATGAAGTGAGCTCATCATTATAAGGAACCTTCTTGTGAAAATGCGTTCTTTCCAAATAGTTTATAAAATCAGCATAAGTAAAAAAAAACATCTTTACCAGTGGTATGTGTTTCCGCACCGTCCAATCAATGTGGAGCCACCAGCATTACAATAACCAACACTGGCTCATTATTCTTACATATTAATTCGCATCTCGGGATATTCGTACTCATTGACTCACCCTTACCTAACATAAACTCTGCTTTTAACAAATAAACACAACCTACATAAGTAAAAAATAAACATGAGTGTGTATGCAGACTATATAGAGAGTAAAAACAACAACAATAAAAAGATAACTTAAGTTTTCGATGTTGTACAGCCTATGATGAAAAAACACATTCTTACATAAGCAGAATTCAACTGCATCGAGGCAAAAGGATTAAGAGGGAAAAAGAAGACAACCACCCATTTGGTTGTCTTTCTTTCCCCCTTTATTAAACATATCTACACATTAGGACTTATAGCATAAATAAAAATTTCATTTCCATAAAACACTAACGCATACCTTGTGTAAGTTGTACCCTGATTCATAGATTATGGGTGGCAGCAGAACAAGGAAGAACATAGTTGGACTGAGAGCCTCTTCTTTCTGTAAAAGATATGTTTCAAATGTAAATGATTGGTGTAACGAAAGAAAACATTTGCACAAAACTTGTTCAACTTGATGAAATTTGAAAATAACTTATTATAATGGGACACATGCAATAACACCTAAACAACTTTACTTAGTTTTGAGGAGAGTTTTCTGGAACATAAATTGATGAATTCTATAAACCAACTTCGCATATGGTTACATAACTTGCCCAGCTCTCAGTTTCAATGCATTATCTTTTTTTATGCATTTCATTTGTGATGAAAATGAGAAATCATGATAACAAAATGTTATTAATGTCATTGGTTCATTCTGTCATCCAGTAAATCTTTTTAACATATTTTGTTATTGAATTTCTCGGTTGAGAAATATATTAAGTCTGTGTACATTGATTTATTTGTAGGGTTTAACGTCCCAAAACCACCATATGATTATGAGAGACGCCGTAGTGGAGGGCTCCGAAAATTTCGACCACCTGGGGTTCTTTAACGTGCACCCAAATCTGAGCACACAGGCCTACGACATTTCCGCCTCCATCGAAAATGCAGCCGCCGCAGCCAGGATTTGAACCCGCAACCTGCGGGTCAGCAGCCGAGTACCTTAGCCACAAGACCACTGCGGCGGGGCAAGTCCGTGTACATTAAAAGGCTATGAGACCTTCTACCAGTGAAATGAAATGCCTATATATCTATTGTAAAACAAGTAAAAAAATAATGCTGTGAAGCCAAGCATTCATCTTACCTGCCAGTTTCCAAGGTGCTGGCTTGAGATCAGCTTCAAAAATAGGCCTATCAAGGCACCTAAAAGTGAAAAGGAAAAGTCAAAATAAGCAAAAGCTATTGCATTGTCAAAACACTGAAGTTATTATTTTGTCCACTAAAGAAACTATATCGCTGCCATGGATTTCCCCCCACATCACTGCTAAGATCATGTGTCTCAAACACACAGCTCATGACACACTCTCTTGCAGCCTACCCATGACTGTCTTTGCACTGCAATTTAAACATTTTCTTAATAGGTGTGTTCATGAGCTGCACCGGTCTAAAGCACTCTTTTAGTGAGGCACCCTATGTGGTCCTCCTGTCACGCCACATAACTCTAAGGCAAAAGCTCTAATCACAATTGGCGTCCAGATTTTAGCCATTTCGGAGATTGGTAGTGATATGATCTTGGAATCATGGCACCAGATCTCTTTCAAAAATGACCCTTATCCTTATATGTGATATGGGAAAGGTTTTCTTTCAAATGGCAACGCTTGCTGACAATTTGCTCAATTCGCCCCCCCCCCCCCTCCTTGTTCTTACCTTCTTCACTCTCCATCATTTGTGGAAACCAAATCAAGTGACTTTAGCCTGCTGGCTCTAATAAGTTTGAGACCCTCGGCATAAATTTTCTCGTAACTTTGAGCAACAAATGAGTAGATGTTAATTTTATTTGTAACAACTCTTGATACACCTTATGAGACTCCGCAGAACTGGCTTGCCATTTACATCACAGCCATAATGGCCTGAAACTTTCTGCAAATGGTGTGACAATGAGTGCATGTTCAGTATGACAGCAGTCGCCCCACTCCCATTTCTTTTTCATTGCAGCCTCAGTAAAAAGGTGTTTCAAAGGGAAAGCAAATAGACAGTTTGAGTGTAGAAATCAACAATGGTGCTGAGTTGAGGCATGCTGACAGAAGTTCTGAATGTTGCCCTGAGGTGTTCTACAAGTTGCCTTCATTAGGCTGCCAGATATATAGAGGGAAAGTGGCATGTGGCGCGAAAACTCGCCTACTGTTGAACGCGAGAAGAGCGTAAAACAAAGACACTGACACTCCTATAATGCCACAGCTTGCGGTGCAGATATCTGCTATCTTTCTGAGGCCCTGCTGTTTTCGTCAGGCAGAGAGACCAACTGCATGCACAAAATTACTCGAATAATCTGGATTTTGTGTACCGAAAACAATGAAGTTACCCACCACAGTGGTTTAGTGGTTATGATGCTCAACTGCTGACCCGCACGTCATGGAGTGGAATCCTGGCCATGGTGGCCCCATTTTTGATGGAGGCAAAAATGTTGAGGCCCACGTACTTAGATTTAGGTGCATGCTAAAGAACCCTGATAGAAATTTCCAGAGCCCTCCCTCTGCTACTGAGTCTCTCATAATCATAGGCGGTTTTGGGATGTTAAACCCTAACATTCAAAAGCATGTGTGTTGGCCAGGCATCAATATTGTCAACAAGAGAAGGCATGTAGTACATCTTTTTCTTTGACACTTCAAACTGCTTTTAGTTCTCAGTTTATCTGACACATACTGGTGTTGTGGTTTCTAGGGTTCATCGCACCTGGTTCTCGTTTTTCTTGTTCCCTCTATTTGTATTGTGCTTGCCCTCCATAAAAAGTTCCCCTGAAAAAGTGCACTCCGTAAATCTGTTTCCTTTCTGTGTTCGAATTTTCATGCGTGCTGCTACCATAAATTAATTTCAAATATCCCATTTTGTGATAATTGTGCTGTTCAAAAACATTCCTTGTACAAACACCTACAAACTCCCCTTGGGACAAGTGCAAAAGATATGTATAAAAGTCCACAAACTACTGAACTTTTCAAGCAATTCATCTTAATGATATATTAAGATGAAGACATGCATATGAATTGTCTTGCGTGCTTGCATGAAGAGTGCATGCTTGAAGAGGCTTGAGTATTGAACTGCATAGCCGTAACAAAGGGAACACTTACGAAGGCACAGAAAAAAAACAACCAGAACCTGTCCTGGTGTTTCTTTTTTTTTGTTCTTGTTTTTCTTTTTATTTATTCTGCTGACGCACACGCTAAGAGAAAGAAGCATCAATACCAGACACAAAGACGCTGATTCAATTTCTGGTAGAAGATATTTGAATAGTTAAATCTGCCTAATGCATTACAGCCACAACTGGATCTAACAAAAGCGGATTTTATCAAGTTTACAATATAACAAAAAAGTTACATTCCCCGGCAGCCACCCATAAGGTTCGTTGTTGTCATCAGCCTGTATTAACGAAGCTAACTCCGAACTGACCCTTGTTTAATCAAGTTTTTCTTAAAATACGAGAGAGTGCAAAAAACAGTGACTCTATTTTTGACGTAAGCACAATTTTTTGGGGGGGTGTGCACTTTAGCACTAATGTGATAAAACATCTAGCCACTTTAATGATGACCATAGCTTAATTGCAATGAGGCTGCTTGCCATGCCCATGCTTTGAAAACAGGCTGGGCAGCCAATAGGTCCATTACATATCAAATGGTGCTAGAGACAGTAGTGGTTATGACGTCCCTGTAAATGCTCCCACAGGAAAACTATGCTGGCTGCTTTTGTTAGTTCATGCTTTGTGAGACAGATGGCACAGATAATCTCCTTGCAACTTTCTTAACCTGCTAGCAAAATAACTGCATTTATTTCCCCCATCTTTGCATATTGGCAGGCAGTTATAGCTTCACGTGAATGGAAAGACATGTGCATGAATGCCTGGACATGGAAAGTTCCATGTCCAGGCACCCCTGGGTTACCCCGGTGAACTTTTCACATATGTAGGCGAGGGTCTGCAGAAAATACAATGCTACAGCAATTCAAGCAGAACTTTTTGTAGTGCAAGTTGGTGCATGTTAATGAAAGGAATAAGGTGCCAACAAGATGAACGAACACAAGAGGTGATTTGGCCAAACACCTTCAAAAACTATCATAGCCATGCTAAGATAGTTTTTGGGTGTTTCTATAGAACTTTAGATTTTGAACAATTAAAAAACCCATTTCTCAATATTAAAACTTTCCCAATTAATGAAATAATTAATGTGGCCATCACTTCGTTAAATCTAGTTTCAACCATATATATATATATATAAGTCAATGGTGTAGCTTGAATGATAGCACTAGGACTTAGTGATTTTAAAAAAAATTTATAATGAAGTATTTTCAATGATAACCTTCATAGATAAAACCCCATGAAGAGACATTTACAATATGTAAAATGGCTATAAACATTGAAGAACTTGAATAAAATGTGGTGATTTGCTACTAGAATAGCACACTTTCAGTCGCACAGAACTGGTCGCCATCAATGACAGCAATGGGAGGTATACTAGCAAATACCAATGAATGCATTTTTTTTTTTCAGAATAGGGCAGGCAAGGATAAAAAAAAAATCTTGACAAAATACGAATCTCCTCAATTCAAGCTTGTTTAACATGTAGCTTAGATGTTAGCAAAAAATATGTCATGCACAAAGAAACCACCATGAAATGTGATCTCTATCAAGTTTCATTTATTCTTTAAGATGGTATATACCATAATAAAGGCAGCATCTACACTTGTGCTATGCGAAATGGGACAAAGCAACAGATATACCTTGATAAAAGTGGACTTGTATTGCCATGTTATTTTTCTATACTGAGCAATGACCAATGCCTTTTTTGAACCTTTTATATCATGCAATCTCTGTCATTGTGTGCTTACCGATGAGTACAACAACAACACTTTCTGGAAGGAATTCGAAGTTGGCCTGGATCAAAAAGTGAATCATCAATATGCACACCGCTGAAAAAGAAAGTTGACATGTTAGTTTGTCATTTAGGAAAAAAGTAGTGTTTTATTTTATTGCTCTTCTCATGGCTCACTGTATAGCGAGTTTAGAATGTTGCATTACCTTTTTGAAAAACATGGCATTTTTGCACGGCTGGATATTATTCATAGCTCTATAGGAAATGAATGAAGAGGCTACAGAACTATTATCTAAGCCAATTTGTTGAAACCAACAGGGTCTTATATAGACATTCCCTGCATTCTTTGAGGTCAAGACTAGAAAGCTGACTGCAGCAAGACAGAGACTTGTATATTGAGGACACCACCTTTTTTTTTTTTCAAACAGTTCTATCAAAGCTACAGAAGAGGTAGAATAAATAAATAAAACAAAGTGAGCTAAAATTTACGGTTGGCCATATATATATATAGTTTTGATAGCAGAAACAACAATTAAGAGTTGCTGCTGTCCCTTTCCACCTCAACCCTTGAGGGCAGATAGCACTGTAATGCCAACGTGGCCACAACACTTCATTATTCCGCTTTGCAATACTGAGCTTAAGAAACTAAAAAAAAACTTTATCAAAATGAAGGCACTTGATGAAAGAAATCAGCAAATTCCTCATTGACAAGATCTAAGAACAATACTACTAATGCATAGCAGTAGTAAATAGTCCTAAATGCCGTGCTTTCTCCCACTTAGTGCATTTAACGAAATGCTTACAGCCAATGTAATGATGATTAATGGCTAATCCATGCTTCCCCTATGTTAAAGAAAATCTAGACAGAATTCACATTATTCGAAGGTCACAACAAAAATGATCTACTCTCTGTGCTGATAACCTAAATTTCACTATCAAACAACACAAGCAAGTGTATTATTTTTTACTATACAAAATGTGCAAGTACACATCTGTTGATATGCTTTAAACAACAGATATTAAACATTCGTACTGCACAGGTGGAATCCTGCACTAACACACCTATCACGCTGAGAGCGAAGAATATAGTCATGCTGGAGTGATGCTCTTCTTCAGCAGATTCCTTCTGTGGAAGAACAGGGTCTGCTGGCTGGGCAGGAAGAACTGATGCTGTCACAGCAACTGCCGAAACATTGCTGTCTGTTCCATTGGATATGGACATTGTTCTGAAGTTCAACATAGATAAAAGTTTCATTACGCTTGAGAGCCAACACATATAACTGAAGGCTTCAAAGGGTCTCAAAAAAGTTTAGAATTATATAAGCAGGTAGGCCACAAGATATTTTGCATTAAAACTAAATTGAACCCCCTTTGAGTTGAATGAACCTCTAATGTTAGGACTAAAAAATGCTAATTTTTGTAGAACAGAAGGGAGCATGAGGGGATGAAGGGTGAAAGATAGCAGAGATTGGAAAAAGGCAACCATCTACTGAATTCAATTCTGCAGACATTTCAACTAGTCCACTTTCCAACCCTAAAAAAAAACTAACGACAGGCTAGGTCTGAAATACACACAAAGGCTGCGAGTTAAATGCCTGGTTGAAAATACAAATTCACAATAAATATTGACCAGAAAGTGAATAATAATTGCTGAGGTTTTATATGCCAAAAGTTTCATTTGGTTATGAGGCACGCCGTAATTGGGGACTCCAGATTAATTTTGGCCACCTAGGGTTCTGCAATGTGCGCCTAAATTGAACCACACAAGTGTTAGCAATTCACTCCCATCGAAATGACACCACCGTGGCCGACAATCGAACTCGCGCCCTCGAGCGTAGCAGCGCGATACATTACGTGCTAAGCTACCATAGCGGGTAGTCTTTATAACCGCCCCCTATATCTAATTACCAGATTACTTAGCACATTGCTCAATACTTGCAATCATTTATGACATGCTAGAACTACTGCCTCATAACGGCTGCTAGGGCATAGCGAAGCTGCATATAACAGCTTTTTGACCTCATATGCAACGTGCACTTTGGAATAGATAGTTTGATCGAAACTGCTACTTGATTAGGCGGCACACTTCCGAAGAAAACTCCTGTCTATAACTGATCGTATACAATTCTTACGTTCACCATACTCACCTACACGGGCGATTTTGCATTCGCCTCTATCTAAATCAGGCTTGTAATCGAACATGCGACATCGTACTCGGCAAATGTGGTGGCAACAGTCGCAAAAATGTTTGCGTTTCCTCCAGCCTTACGTTTTAAAATTGCACCAAAACGCGAGAAGATCATTGCAACTGAAAAAAAAATTGCTGTATGCTTGGGGCGTGCAGCGCAAGCGAGTCTACACGACCGCAGTAAGATTAGCTTACGCGTTGTTGATCGCTGCGTTCGACGAACTGTTGCTGGATAGCTGCCCAGCTGACGACTGGGTTGACGTCCAAGTAGATTGTTGAAACGCCGACTCACAAACAGATGCGAGCCATAGTAAGACTAGAAAAGCAATCACAATTTTTCTAGGAGTAGTCAGACTGGATCTCAAATGACGCCCCATATCTCTTGGACTATTGATTTCGAACATGTTATATTTTTCTTGTGGCTTTCTTTTTTTGCCCTTGAAGATGTTTCAGCGTTTGAAGTCAACCCATAATTAACCGTCCAGCGGATCTTTTCACATTGCGAACAGTTGAAAATCTGAAGCAGCTTGAGAAGCACCGACACAGGGCGCACATCTTTCCATCGAAGGCAACTTCGTAGAATTGCCCGACGAACAAGGACAGGTCCCGGAAAGCGAAGGTTATGTATAATATGAATGATAGCGAGAAATTCGGCCGCCGCTCCAAGAGCTGTCACTTCTACCTTTCTACCGTTTCAGCAAAGAGTACTGCAGCAAAAGCAAGAAACCACGAACGAAACGTCTGCGAACACCGCACGAAACCGGCTCGACTTGTATTGGCTTGGATAAGACCGCCACACAAGTTTGAAACAGTTTTCTAACATTTATTTAACTTTGTAATTTATCCACCTCTGTTTCTAATAAATAACAAATAACGTAAAATTATTTTTAGTATTTTTGCACAAAAACGTTGTTTTATAGTCCAACTATAGGTGTTTTGTGTTTTAACTAGCGCCACTGATGGCAGAGTGACGATTTTCATTCTCGCGCGCTTGCGCTGAGCTCGCGCCATTCGCAACCGTGAAGTGGTTACCGCCATTTGCTAGTGATTGTTCGCTGGAAATGGCAAATTTGACAGTGAATAAAGACACCTTTTACCGGCGAATACGACGTCTTTACGCAGCATGGAAGGTACGCATGAATTTTTACTGCTACTCTACGCACGTAGCGTCTTCTGAAGTTTATTTCTTGCTGTATTGCGTTGTCAATGAGCCGGGTACATTGTTCCATGTCCGTTACTGCCCTAAGTAATGGAAGCTGCATGAATTCAGCGCCCACCCAAATCATTTTATAAATCGTATGGTAGCTGTTAACGCAAATAGGCTGTCGTTCTCGGTGAAAGTGCGAGCCTAGTGTTTAAGAATGACTGCTTGGGTAGCGTCTCGAGTAGGGACACGTGCCGTCACCTTTTGACGATGTGTAGACCTGCGGCGAAAACCAGTGTTTAGAGGCTACAGGCAGAAAGTTTTCCAGGCATCGTTTCACCATGAATGTTATAGTAGCATTTCAATGGTTTTATATCGCACAGCGTTACAACGCATCTCTGTACTAGCATAATTCTAGAATAGGGCACTGTCGAATGACATCATTTTCTTTGCTGATAAAAACGTATTATTTTATACCAATACGTGCGTAAAAAAATAAAGGTTTATTTTGGTCGAGTACTCTGCGCTCGCGCTCTTTCTGCGCATTGTCGCCAACCGGTCAACCGACATCGCATCTTGAAAATACATGGCCCGTAGGTGCGCACTTAGGTCTGCATCAATGTAGGGACAGGACTATTTTCCTGCTAGATCGCTTATCGTATCAATAACCTATCAGGGTTGAAAAACGAAGTCATTTTCTTAGCTGGTAGTAATTGCTTCGACCACATGTATACACCCTAGCGATATTGGCAACAAAATCGCGAGCAGCACGGCATATTAAGGACAGTGTGAGCAACCGCTCAGTTTCCATTTCAAATGGCGTCTGCTAGGCTGTTCGCTTCAGGAGCGCAAATGACCTGCTTTTTTCACGCGCAAAGCTCCGTCTCATACCTCTGCAAACGCATATCTGCAGTCGTCACTTCTATGCAGGATGTCGGAACGAAATGGTTTTCGCTTCGATTTACTTTCGTTCCACCGTGAAAAGTTTCGTCCAGTAACGAAAAAGATATTCCATAACGGTTCGGGACGTTTTTTTAATGTGTGCAAAAGTTTTAAAGATAAAAATATTAATTTGGGGTACAGTCATGCGCCTTAAGAAAGTGAAACATGGCTAAACCACGTTCTTCCGATGTTTCTTAGAACAGCGCAGCAACCATAAATTCCTACAAATCGGTGCTAACCACTATCCTTCCAATTATAGTATTATTTTTTTTTTGCTCTAGTGAATTACGAACTTGTTTTGAGCAGGGCTCAATGCTGTGTATCAGGGGAGCGAGCATGGTCTTGAACCATCCACTGGCTCTCCAAGCCGGCTTGCTTGACAGGGGCATGAAAGTCCAATTGTATGCAATAATATAAGCATCTCTGGTTCATTTTTTGCACAACTTCAACATATCTTCACTTTGGAATTCCTGCCAGAGATGCGCGCTAGTACTGACTTCCGAGACGTGCATTATTGCTCATGGTGCATGGCCTTGGTTGTCCTGGATGGCCAAGTGTTCACATGAAGCGAAAAATGATTAAAAAAAATAAATTTGGTTTCGTTCTGGAACGAAAAAATTGATAGTTTTGGTTATGTTTTCATTTTGTTCAAAAATCTAATTTTCTTTACTTTTTTGTTTTAACATATAGGGAGCTTGCATGAACGATGGCGACGCTATGCACTCTGGGTAGGCAGCCATTTTTTTGTCAGAGGCTGCTGGGAAGTGCAGCAGCGCAGTTGTGTTTGCGAGCGTTGGCGTAGCTTGCAGGCGTGATCAAGTGCGAATGCGACGCAAATTTAACTTAAAGAAATGTCGAGCACTATGTCAGCCTCTCCGAAAGACTACACCGCAGCACTGTGCCAGAAAGACCTCGAGCGGTACGAAGAAGACATGAGAATTTCCTCCGAGTGGACCCGTTCACTCTTCGTGCGGGCGACTGTGTAAGTGACATGGACTTGTGGCCACGTGTCGACAGCTCCGATATTCATGAATTTCTCGTTCCGAGGATGAGTTTGAAAACCCGTGAGCAGATGAAGTCCAAAAAGGCCCTCGAGGGTCACAACTTTTTGAAGAGTGGCTGGTTGTGGGAGCTGTGGGTGAATAAATTTGCCGCCGACACCGTGATCGTCGTCACTCAAGTAAGAGGTGTTAAAGTACTTGCGTTTGCCATAGATGCTAATGGTTGTTTCTCTTCCGATTAAATTCTCAGTGTGTTCACAATGCCCTCGTCGACGTCTGGTTCGTGGCCAAGAGTGATGACGAGATCCTTGCCACGCACTGCACATGCATTGCCGGGAACAGCGAAGCCTGCTCACATCCCACTGCGTTGTTATTCTACGTGAAGCACGAGAAGAGCGTTCTCAATTTTTTTAACACGTCTTACTTGAGTGACGACGACAACGGTGTCGGCGGCGCCTTTCTTCACTCACGGCTCCTGCACTCGGCCACTCTTCAAAAAGTTGTCTCCTTTTAGGGCCTTTTTGAACTTCATGTGCTCCCGAGTTTTCAAACTCGCTCTCAGAACGAGAAATTCGTGAATATCGGAGCTGTCGATGCGTGGCCACAACTCCACGTCACTTACACAGTCGCCCGCATGAAGCGTGAATGGGTCCACTCGGAGAAAATTCTCGTGTCTTCTTCGTACCACTCAAGGTCTTTCTGGCGTAGCGCTGCGGTGTAGTCTTCCGGTGAGACTGACATAGTGCTCGACACGTCCTGGAGTTAAATTTGCGTCGTGCTCGCACTCGATCACGCTTGTAAGCTACGCCAACGCTAGGAAACACTACTGCGCTGCTACACTCACGGGCCACCTCTGACAAAAAAATGGCTGCCTACCCAGAGTGCATAGCGTCACCGCCGTTCATACAAGCTCCCTATTGCTTCTGCATATTGTACAGCAGTACATTGTGCTTGCCCAGAACTTCCCTTTGTTGCATACACACGTTCTTGTCGTGCAAATAGCATAACTAATGTAAAGCAGCTTAACATTTCTCTCAATTTGGCTTCTTGCAAACATAAATCCTTGGCATAGAGTGTGTCATGCTTGGAACAGTGTCACGTGCAATACACTGGCTGGTAATCTTTGCAAGTGTGTGCACTGTTGCAGATTTTAGTCATAAAGCGCAGCACTCAACGATCGATGTTTGTGATATCTACAAATAGAAAAACACGTGAATGCTGGCGTTCCAAGTCTGCAAGTCTTGCATCCCACTTGCGCAAAGTTCAACGTGTTTGTTGTGTTTCCCATAAGTGAAACACTGCTCTTGTGTGTTTACTGTAGAAAGGAAAAAAAGTAAAAAATTCGCTGTTTGCTTGCAGCTGCATAGAATTGGCTCTGAACGGCTGCCATTGTAGTTATGCAGTGTGCTATGACAAGTCCTATTTAGATGGTTGCATGCTTCTTTTTGTAAGGCATATGACTTGGAGCCTGTGTAGTTTGTGGAAGTTCGCATTTTAAGCTAGGTTCAGTAATGAGTTGGATGCTTAACTTTTTGCACATTATTGAAGGGTTCATTCCAATATGTTGACAGGCATCTGTTTCCTTTCTGTTTGTGGCTACCTGTCCCATTATATTGTGGCAAAGGTGCAACTTATCAGAATAATTTGTTTACAAAATGTGTTGTACTGCACAACAAAAATCAGCTCACCGTTTGATTTTATGCGCAGAAACCTGACGAGAATCATGCCTCATTTGGTAAAATGGATGCACTTGTTTCTGCTGTTGGAGTTGATGAAGAGATTGTGTACAGCAAGTCCACAGCTATACAGGTAAGGTCTCGGAGTGTATACAAGTTACATTTATATAAGTACTTGAAAGTAGTGTGATTGTAACCCATCAAACAAAAAAAAATTGCGAATGATTGATGATTGATTTCCCAGTTCATAATTGCTATTCTTGAGTATTTAGAAAGGAACACAGGCATGCCTGCATTGTTTGTAGGTGCCATAATCTGCCTGAGAACAGTTGTAATCACATCCCTCATAGTTATAAACGAGTAGCTTAAAAGTGGTCACCCTTCAAGAGATAGTATACTAGAAAACTATCATGGTTACTTCAGCAGCAAGCTGAAATGGCATTTGTGTGTGAGTAGTAGCAGAGGTGTCAGTGTGAAGAAAAAGAGTAAAATTGAAAACTACAGCACTTGAAAAAGTTGTCTGCAGAGTTGGAAAATTGTCAATTTTTAAACATACAAATCGTATCGTAAATGTATGGCATCAACAATTAGGCTTGAATGCATCATCATGTACTGTGTATCTGTCATTGAGCCCTGAAGGGTTTAAAAGCGTAACCCTTTCCAGGTGTTCAGTCAAGTGATGTGCCCAACTACTTAAATTTTCTGTACGTTTACATGGGCAAACATACTAAGTCAATAAGCAATGGTACTTTTGTAGACCCTTAATGAGTGCAAATTCATAAAGAAAAAAAAACATGGTTTGATAAAATGAATATGATGCTTTTTACGTTTCTCAAGAAGTTTGATTATGACAGCCATGTTCAAAACAGCTTGAAATGCATGCCATTGCACTTAAGAGTATAAATTTTGCTGCAAAATTATTGTATATGTACTTCTCAAAAATGTTGGTCAAGTCGGCACCTACCAACAGCCAAAAATGCAGCAAACTGCTTAGGATAAGCACTGTAATACAGGGCTTAATTTTTTATTTTAGTGGGATGGAACACTTTTCTCTCTCGCAGGCCATATGATCGTAACACTACAAACTTTCACAAACTAGCATTTCGAAACATGGACCAAAGACAGGTCATTGACATATTGCAATGTGGGACGAGTCGTCTGGCATTCCCAGGTCTATGTGCATGCATTTAGTTTAGGCAGCTATTTTCTAAGTGAAATTTGGCCCCAGTCTGTTGTTTGATGACATCTGCATGCTGGAGTGGGGCACTGATTATTCATAGCTATATGTGCACAGCACATAACCCAAATTTTAACCATTCCTGTGCACTTTTTTTTTTTTTTTCCCTGAAAAGCAGTGCACATTTAAAAGTTCCTTGCACATGGAGGCAGCAGTGAATGACAGCATATAAGTAGTTTTTTATTAGAAGTGTGCAGTGTGCTTATACCACTGTCGACAGTTCTAAGTCGCATGTGCTATTGGTCAGATATTCAAGATCTGAATTGTAATAGTCGTTCGGATTCTTTTGTGGCCGTAGTCATGCCTCTGCATTTCTAATGCTTACACAAATGATAGATGCACTCGTGCCAAAGTCGCAATAATTGGTTGACCATTTTTAGGGGCGTAGCACCTTAGAGTGTGGGTCTGTCCTTCCTTCGTTGCACATAGCCACCGGTGGCACATACCCTCTCTAGAGCGGGTATGTGCCACAGAAGATGGCGGTACTTCGAAGTGTTCACTAGGTGGATGCACGGACAGACACAGACTAGCACAGGAACGGACGAATATACGGACGCACGAAACGGGTATATGCCAGAGGGGATGCGAGATGGCGTTACTAGATGGACGTACGGACAGACAGACTAGAAGATGGACGGACGCACACATGGACGGACGGATGGTTGCGCAGACGGGCGGAAGCACGGGCGGGCTGATGGACGCTTTGCCCCACTCATAATCATTCACTCCGTGGATATTCTGTGATTTTTGTGCCTTTGCTATAAAGTGGGCATGTTTTTCGGCACACTGTGACACACTATTCATCATGAGCAGCCCGATTACACCTACTGTAGGGCAAAGGCCCCTCCTATGTTCCGCCAATCAACCCAGTCCTGTGCTTTCTGCTGCCATGTTATACCTGCAAACTCATCTCATCTGCCCTCCTGCTTTTCTGTATTCCTTTTGCACATTTCTTTTCTCTTGGAATTCAGTCAGTTATCCTCAATGATCCTGACTACGTGCCCGACCCATGTCCATTTCTTCTCGATTTCAGCTATGATGTTCTTATTTGTCTCCTGAACCACTCTGCTCTCTTCCTGTCTCATAAGGTTACACATGTAGTTTTCATTTTCATGGCTCACTGCGTAGTTCACATCACAAATTAAAAAGTGCGCTTAAACTTTTTGGCAGAGTGATCATGGTCACCAACAGTCGGTGAGTACGTTAGATGTCGTCGAGATTGCATTTAGTATTCATTGCAACTACAAAATAACAATGTTCTGGTGGACTGTGACAGAAGACAGCAGATTGCCACATATATATTTAAAGAAAACATGTTGTGTCCTGTGACAATGGGCCTTTTCAATTGTTGGTATGCTTCACTGTAATATGCTATGTATCGAGTTTGGGAGCTGCTACCCATGAAAATGGATCAGTGCACGAGTTAAAGGGCCACTCACCAGGTTTGACAATTTTGTGCTGACAAGCGCAATGCATAGATGCATCATCACATCTGCCAAAATTTGCAACGCTACGCGCTGTTCAAATGGGTCAAATTTCAAGATGAACGCAGCTTCTCCTTTCTTTTATGGGCGCGCGCCCAGAGAATGAGGGCATGACGTGCGCGTATGAATAGCCCTACGTACACTGCAATGCTGTGATGTTGGTCCTCTACGTAGATGACAAAGCTCTGACGTTGCCAACAGTGGCACTGACATGGCAAAAATTATTTAGCACATGCGTAGTTTATGTATTTGTTGCTTGAAGAGATTAATAAATCTCTAGACAAATAATGAAATGCAATAAGCGAATGTGAGCGTCCTTTTATTTTTAATTTTTTTTTTCCCTACGAATCGCAACGAGATGCGGGGCTAATGTGCCGGCATTTCGCATGCATTCGTGTCCCCGCGGTTCTGCAGTCAGCACATTGAGCAGACGGCAGCCGTGGAACGCTGCTGCACATTCGTGCACTCATTGTGCTCATCTATTCCAGCGTCTAATCCAGCATTTCCAAACCATCCCGCAGAACCGGACAGTAGACCTCAAAACAACTCTGATAATAAAAAAAAAACTCCGCTCGCGTGCACGGGGGTTAAGCTTGTTCGGGCACGTCATGAGCACGTGACCTCTTTGTTGGATGCTGGAGAGGGTAGGGAAGAGATTTGGTTTGGGAAGGGTACGCGGAGGAGCGGCAAGGGTTTCGAGCTCGCCTCCTTTCATACTCGTTTTCTGCCACTTCAAAAAAAAGTTTACTCAACTCGTAATGAAGCGATTAAAAAATTATTTATTTTTTTTTTTTGGCAAAATGTTCCTCATCAGACACCCAACAACTTCTACGTTCTAACTAAAATTTGTATGGGGCCTGGTGAGTGGCCTTTTAAAGGCTGTGCGACACTCTAACTATAGTGGCTTCTTGGTGCCAAAAATTGAAAAGTCAGCTGTTTCAGAAATCCTTAGTCTGACTTTTATGAGTCATGCTGCAACCTAAATGGCTCTGAAAAATCTGATTGACAGCATAAACAGTGGCATTTGCATTAACTAGATGAATAAAATGTGGGCCAGATTCACTGACCAAATCTTGCTCACAAGTTATTCTTGTATAGCTCTTTAGCACTTTTAATAATGATTATCAAACCTTGTGTGGCAACACTTTAATGGGAATCACTTCAAAATATTTTTGAGACATGAGAGGTAGAAAAAGAACTCAGAGTTAGCTGAAATAAATTATCAGCTTGTATGGCTAAAGGAGGTAAAACTGGGGCCTGTCACTTCAATTTTGTCAGGTAAATTTGTAGCAGTACTCTTTACCAGTCAATTTATGGGCTATAACTTCGCCGTATTTATGCTAAACATACATAGACTATTATATACACACCATGGTTGAGGCAGAGCATATCTTTTTATGAACATGATTGTTTTGTCTCATGTTATGTCTATGTTGCCTTCTGTCTGCATTACAACACCGAGTAGTATGACATTATGGTGCCACTAATACATGGCTGGTCACTAACTGAACTGTTAAAGATTGTTTTAGTAAAATGCATTGCTGGGATTTGGAACTTTTCCGAACATTGAACCTTGAAGCTCACACTCATAGCACCCCCTCCCCCAATATAGCCACCACCATAAATTTTAAATGCTAGATAGTATCTTAAGCCACTTACAGCTTCAATTTTCAGGTCTCTCTATTTAGCCACTGCATGAACCATAAACCCATTCAGTACACTTAACTACAGCCTTGGCGCTCTTTGGCTAAACCATGGCCCTTGTGCCACTGAACACCATACATCATCATTATGGTCTAGTTGGTGCATGAATAATTTTTAAGAAAGTGGTGCAATAACGAAAAAAAAAGGGAGAGGCAAGGTAAGATGGACAAGCGTGCTTTTGTGCTTGTCCTTGTAACCCGATTTTTTGTTTTCACAGCACGCGACAAGGGTTGTTTTTGGCACTGCCGTCCTCCACCGCTGGTGTCCGAAACTGCTATCACGCTAAATAATTCAGTAATCTACAACAGAGCCATGCCGGTGCTCAAAACTCTTGTAAGAAGACCCTATTCAGGCATCATATCAGAAAGAACCCGCATGAACATGTGTAATAGTTTTCAGCAGAAAAGGTCAATAACTAAGCGTCACACAATGCGAATTGTGTAATGAATTGGTCATTGAATTCTTACAACCTATTACAAAGGGTTCAGCCATACTTTTTCAGCCACTGCATCCCTTGAGTGCACATAATGCCTTGAAAACGTGTAGTGGGTACCTCGCTCTTAAAATGAATATTGGCATGGTGAGTGCTTCCAATGTTCATAAAAATTATGATTTATGGCATAGTGGGCATCTTTCAAGCATACTTGCATTAGTAGCCCCAAGATGCAAGGGGTTCCAGAAATGCAGCTCTTCTAGCTTCTGATAGTG